AAAAAAATGTTATTTGGGAAAGCTCTAGAAATCTTTTGCTTGGCTGAGGCTTCAGTAGCTTGGTTGTTAAAGGAGATTCAACCAAAATGTATATAATTTAATAATTAATTTAGTATAATTTAATCCTTGAGATATAAACAAAGCCATTCAGAGAGGTTTGATACAAAATGGTTCATTGTAGAGAAACTTACCTGCTCATGTACCTTTACAGTGGTGGTTATAAAAGCCAGTAGTTCTGATGTCTACAACACAGCCACTTTATTTACTACCCAAAACCACCAGGAAACCTCTACATGTATTCTGAGTATTTATATAAAATGCTGATGTTGATACAGTGATAGATAGATAGATAGATAGATAGATAGATAGACAGACAGACAGACTGAAGGAAATTTAGCAAAGTAAATATGAAAGGTTGTTTTTGGGGACTATTTTGCCTTTGCCTGCACGTATTCCTCCGCCATGAATGGAGTCTTAAAAATACATTTTAGACCAAAACCTCAACTCAAAACTGTCCTAAAACAGCAACATATTCATAACTATTTAACATAATGACTTTCTGTGTCTTTTTCTTCAGTTCCTATCACCACCACTGTGAACAGTTCTGACTCGCTAAGTTTCTAGAACAGAGCATTTCACACCAAACCATTTAGAATGACTTTGTGTACTTCTGATGAATGTAATTATGCAGAAATTCTGAATTCCCCTTTAAGGTTGAGTCAGAGGTCCTTTTAAACGTATGCTGGTGCAAGAAGCCTTACTACCATCTGAATCATCCTGATTAAGATCAGACGTCCCTCCCTGTGGTTTATTTTACTATGTGCCATCTCATTTACAGCATGAAACGACATGACTGCAATGCCTTGTCATTTTGTGCTGTATTTCTCTTTGTTGCTCAGTTGTGCATCCTGTTTTTCGATCCTGTAAATACCAACTGATGGTAACTTCATAAATATCTCAGCATCGATTGCAGCAGACCTGGTCAAGGCTTTCTCAGGCTTTATAAACAGTGGTCAGCGGGCATCCTTTTTAGCTCAGTCAAATAGAGGTCAGAGAAACACTATCACAGGGTCTGTTTTTAGATTTCCGATAGTGAGACAGATTGGACCTGCGCCAGTGGCGTTGTATCAAATATTGATCCAGTGTGGCACGGCTAAGTCTGATTGATGCCAAGCCCTGGCATCTGCGATCTCTTTTAGTCAAGTTTGGAAGAGTAGTGTTTCAATCTTGCTCGACTAATTTTTGTTGGTACATGACCTGGAGGCATGTTGTCGTCACCCCAACATGTACACTATTACATGTACCCTGCTCACTAATTATGGAGTAACTTAGCACTTGGGGATTTGTGTAGGCTTAGGTGCTGCCGTTGATCAACGCTATCATTCACTTACGTTATTTTTACAGTATATATCAAATTATACAACAGTTAGTTCCAGCCACGCAAGCTGATTGGTTGAGAAGTGTTCTAACTGTGCTGTTATTTCGCCATAACGATGATTTCATCATCACTGAGCAGCTTTTCAGTCGGCAGCTGTGACAGAAGAACACCTAAACAACCTGGAATTAGCCAGAAATTAACCGAATACCATTCACCAAACAAAATGGGCTGTAAGATGCTTTACAGACTGGCAGGAACAAAACAACATTAATATTGATCCAGCAAAAAATTACAGCATTGAGCTAAACTTGATATTGCGGCAGTTTTGTGGCTCAGTCCGTACTTCAAAAGGTGAGGCTTACAGCAGAATGTGCAGCGAGTGAGCGGAGTTCGTTACTCTGACGCAGCAACAAGCTGCTTGTTAAGGAACTATAATTTGGCGGAAGGAATTGCTAAAATTAAAACATATTAAATGCCATATTAAATGTTCATGGCCCAATTTATTTATTTCTTACTTACTTATTTATTTAACTGTTGTATAAAAGCAATAGAACACTCGAGGTTGTGTGTTATCACGAATCACGGCTCATGCCTGCGACCAAATCACAGCTGTGATGTTATTTCACGATAACACACTCCCTCTCGTGTTCTATTGCTTAAATATCAAAACTTGTATGACACCTATGCTGCATAGTCTGGTATTTTAACAAGTAAAAGAGTAACAATACACATTTTCAGGTTCAATACGATTTTTGATTCTGAGTTAAAGATTTGAGTCCATTTTCAATATTTTATAGGCTCAATGTCTTGAAACACTATAGAAATAATTCTGTTTGATCTTATTTTTGCAGATTAAATATGAATTCTCAAATAAAACAAAATTGCAACCTCTAGAATGTATAGGCATCTTTAGATAAAGAGGCTCAGTCATTTAAGTGTGAGGGCATGTATAACATAAGCACCACCCCCTCCCTGTCCACTTTACTAGATGCTTAGTTTTGATCATTAACAGATTTCCAGGCTGAAATGAAATGAAAGACCCTTGGACGACGCTGAGAAGCATATTGACAATGCAGCTTATTGCAATACACCATTTAAAGTGTAAATATTTCCAATATTTGATAAAGTTTTGAAATCATTACATGCCTATTAATGACACGCTAATAATTCTTGTTGTTAGAAAAGCACATACCTTTGACACAAGTTCTACTACAAGAGAAGAACCAAACATCTTTAATTAACATGTGTTAGCTTTAAAAAGGTTCTTTCAATTTACAGAAAGGTTCTGTCAACTAAAGGTTTACCTTCAAAGTTTATATCGGTATGTTCACACAACATAAAGGGCAGCGAAAGATTTTGTTATGACAGTGGCAGACACACTCTAAAAGTGAACTGAACCAGGTCTGAGTAGACACAGAAAGCAGTTTAGAGAAAGCTAGAGTTACACTATTTAGACTTAGTCTTAGTCTAGTTACATGTCAGTATGGCATGATTTTTAATGTAGACAGCAAATGGAGGGGATGGACTTCCTTCATGCCAGTTGATGATAATTGATTGTGCAGAGTGGATCTCAATCGATTGCTCGCAGCTACCATAAGGCCTTATGAATAGCATTTCAATATTGATGGAGGCGCTTTAAGATTTGATAGTTTACAGCACAGAGTTTTACTCTGGCTTCGTCCAGCTTCTCAGAGTGCTACATCACAAACCAAGCACTGGCATCTAGGACTGCACTGTATTTACCTGGGAAAGTATTTTCTCTTCTACAGAGTAGATTTCATGAAAAAGTTCATTTTCTACCAAACAGTTAAACATTTGAAGGCATTTTCATGATAAATTACATCATGACAAGCTTTTCTGAGAACATCATAGGTATTATCAGTACTTTCTGACTGCTTTTGCATTCTGACTGATTTTGGTATGGAATTTTTTGTCACTGCATGTTAAAACTGTAGGTTTTCATGTCAGATAAAGCCTCTAGAGCAGTGGTCACCAGCCCTGGTGCTGGAGATCTGCCTTCCTACAGAGTCTTGTTCCAACTACCATCTGCCAACCCTGCTCCAGCAAGTGAACTTCTTAAGAAGCTCTTTATGGCTGGATGAGATGCATTAGTGTTTGGTAAAAGGTAAAAGGGGGGAAGCAGCATGTTAGGTGCAGGTTGGAATTAAACATTGCAGGAAAGGAGCTTTCCAGGAGAAGAGCTGGTGACCACTGCTCTAGAACATCTAAGGTGCTAATGCTAACACTAGAGCTGACCAGTGCAGTTGAAGATGCAGCATAAGTGCTTTTCTCCTTAGTGAATGATGTGACAACATCTTGGTTTGTTGAGGTAACACTGAGAACACAGAATTATATTTTCAGTGTTTTTGGTTCTAGCTAATGACAATACCTTGGCCTTCTCTGCTGATCCTTTATATCCATAACATGTCCTAAGCAGCTTGACATAAAAAGCAAAGTATAATATGATATATGTAAAGCTGCACTATGTAACAATACTAAGGAAAAAAAGAAGATCCAGCTGGATGTTTAGGTCGCAAAATCAACATTTTACTAATGAAGATATGATGACAATAGTAGGTCATTCACTTACATCCTTGGAAGACACGTCCTTCACCAAGTTTTGACTGAGTGCTCTTTGAATTCTCTCTCAGTGGAAACATCTGATTCCTCCTTTCGGAGAAGGGGTCCAAAGCATAACTGATGCCACAAAATGTTTTTCCACACATTGCCTGTAATTCCACCTTTCCACCAGAGAGGTGTCTAAATACCCAAAGCTTACGTAGTGCAGATTTAATGTGTTACAAATCAAAAACTGCAGCACTTTATAATTCTGTTAAAATTAAATTGTTCAGCTGTATATTTATCTTCGAATTTCTGTGATGCGGTGTAACAGATACCACAACAGTGATTTCAAGTACTCGTGTGCCCATGTACACCCCTAACCAATAAAACGATCTTATTTAGAAAAACTTATTTAAACTTACTTCAAGCTAGATGTTTAGTGGGGCTGAAAGATTAATAATTTCTATATCGAGATAATTTAAATGCTGAAGATTTGTTAGCATTATGTGTAATTTTCAAATTGTAAGAGCAGCAATTTTTTATATCATAGTCTACATTATCAACAACATTGTCGTAAGTTTTAAGTGGGGAAATTTAACCTAATAATACAGAGCTTGTGAACTGCCTGTACATGAGTTAGACCAATCAGAGGCAACCAAACCTCCATGTATTTTGACATCACAACCACAGCTTACTGGCAGTCTGGCACAGTACACTCAGGGTTCAAGCCTCAAGCCAGAAAAGATGGATATTGTAGTCTGAACAGTGGACAGTGGATAACAGGCCTGAACCTCAATTTATAGAAAATAACCGCACCTGAAATCGCACTCTCAATATTTGTCAGAAAATCGCAATTAGATATTTTTCCCAAATCGTTTAGCTCTAGCGTTTCGATTGTTTTTCCTTCAGGTGTAAAGTTACCATTTTGGAGATACAACGTTTTGGTTCCTACACTGACAATATGACACTTATGGCTAATTAAAAGCTGTTCTAATAGAAATATCAGTCTAATGTCTGCTAAAAAACACAGTATTTCTATCTCTCTCTTTCTTGTTTTCAGATGGCTTCAGCTACAGACAACCGTTATGGCCAAAAGGAGTCTTCTGACCAGAACTTTGATTACATGTTCAAGATCCTGATCATTGGCAACAGCAGCGTCGGAAAAACCAGCTTTCTGTTTCGCTATGCCGACGACTCTTTCACTCCAGCTTTCGTTAGCACGGTGGGCATCGACTTCAAAGTGAAGACCATCTACAGGAATGACAAGAGGATCAAGCTGCAGATCTGGGTGAGTTTTTCAGCTCTTTGATCTTAAAATGGCATAGTGATGGAGTGTGATAAAACTGTATGGTTTGTCACTGATAACGTTCACCAGAATTTCTTTTAGTTATTCAGTTATTTAAGTAATGTATGACTTAAAAAATAGTTAATGTCAAATTGCACCATGTTCTTATCACCAGCAGCAACTGCAACTTCTAAGTATTTAAATAGAAAAGCGATGTTCAGCATTTCCATGCAAAACATGAAGAGAAGCTCCTGAACTGTATGAGATAAGCAAAGTATGTGTCACTAGCATCAGATGAGCAGATGATGGTCAGTATGATGCGTGATGGTCAGTAGCCTGGCAGCAAAAGGAGGGCAGTGTGTACGGTTGGTTGGCCGCTGATATACTGATGTGAACTCACAGCCAATCAGAAAAGCACACAGGGTCTTTGGTGATGGCATGGCCCCCCTCCTCTTGACTCGTCAGCACAGTGCAGAGTAGAAACAGCTCGGCAAAGGCCCATTAGGCACATTACACACTACAGACTGCCCAGTAATTCTTCAATGGCTTTATTGCATGTATTTCATTGTGTGTGGTCGTAAACAAATGTGTTGTGTTGCGTAACAGTACAGCTGTTCATTAACCCTCCTACACCCCTCATGGTATTTACACCTTCATACATTTTATTTCACTATTTCTCACTCATAGCTATTTGTAGGCCTCAGCGATCGGATGTTGTAATCGGATGTCAGCGATGACTGAAGTAACACGGTGACAATGCTCCAACGGCAGTAATGACCATGATGGGAAAGAGAGCTGCCGTCTCATCTAGCATTATTTCAAAATCGAAAAAAAAAAACTAGTTCGCTTTGCATGGTTACTAAATAAGTGAACACAGTGCATGATGTTCAAGCCAACATTGAATAAATGTCAAACCATCTATCGAACAACTTGTAAATGTTAAACAGTGCTGGAGCTGGTTAGAGTTAGCTTTGCTAGCATGCTAACAGCTCTGCCCACCACAGAGCACGTTTGATTCTGGCTGACTAAAGCACTGATACAAGTTCAGATGATTAAAAATAATTATTAAAATCTGAGAGACTGAAGTCAGGTGACTGTTGAAGGGACAGTGTTTGGATCCGTAGCCTGACAGGCTACCTTAACATTAGCTTAGCGAGCAGGCTGGAGACCCAAACAGTGCCACCCATCATAGTACAGATTTGACTTTGAAAATTGGTGCTTTTTCGACACAAATTTAGATGTTTGAAAGAGCAAAAGGAGAATGACGGTAAGAATTCCAACCTGTTCTGTGGTGTTTCAGAGAGAGCTTAGTTAGTAGGCTAAACGTGCCACACTACACCACAGCATGGCTGTAGCTAAAATAACTGATGCTAAAATAAGAGTGTAGCGCACCGTTTATGCTCATTTAAAAGATAGCGCCTAGTTGTGCGACTGATGTTGAAAGAAAAGCAGAAGTCGAACGTGTTCTGTGGTGTGTACAGTAGGGTGACCAGATTTCTCAAATGAAAACTGGGGATATTTCCAGTTCAGCTTTTTTTTCTATGAAATAAAAAAGAGGGGACAGTTCCAGCCCACGTGCACATGGTGCGAGGGGAGAGAAAGACACTGCTGCCAGAGGAGCTGCTGACTGAAACTGATGTTACCTTGTGTCTTGAAAAGATTTTTGTGGTGATGTTGTGGACTAACTTGACACTTGATAGCTTCTGGTCGAGTTTTACGCAGCAGTATTCTCTAAAACTAGGCGAGGAAGTGGTAGCAGTGGTTAGTTGGTAGGAGCCCCCTCTGTTGACCAAAACAATCACAGCTTGAGATATCTGCCCGTCTGCTCTGCTGCCAGGTTTTTCTTCGGACCTTCTGGTGCGTTTTTAATTCACAGTTAAAACCGGGGACATTTCTGGACAGCTCCAGCCGGGAGCAGGCCAACAAAAATGGGGACTTTCCCTGAAAAAATGGTGACATCTTGTCAGCCTAATTAGCAGAAAATGTGCAGTTCTGATATATGTAGCTCTTCGCCGGGGCTGAGCTGCTGTCACACTTAGTTTTTCTGAGGTTTTCTTGGCTCTGATTTCTCCCCTTTTTCTGTTTGCACTATCTGTCGGTGAGCTCACACACCACCAACTGGTGAGCCCTCAAAAATATAAATGGGTGTAATGTTTTTATTTGTCCGTTCAGACGTGAAATAGAAATTTGAAACATCGTAATTTTGAAATATTGTCATCAAATTTTAAATATTGCAGTATACCATATTACCACCATACCGCCCAAACCTGGTGCAGATTCCACTTTTGCATAAGATACCACATTTGCATTAGTAAGTAGTGTAGGAGAAACTTTATGATTTAAATTTAATTAAGTTGTTGTGCGTATAGTCTTTTTTGTGGAATAAAAAAGCATCCTTTACCTTTTTTGCTTTTTTTGACATTAAAACAAGTCAGAAGTGCAGTTTCCAACCTGTCCATACAGAATGTTAATAGAATGTAAATCTAATTTATTATGCAATGAGCAATGTAATTAATTATATAAGTACATATTTACTTGTAAATACAACTAAATAACAATAATAACTCTAGACTTGCATGGTGTTCGTGGAGATGAGTTGAAGCATATGGCAGAGACAGATGGGAAATGTATTCTTTTAGCACAGGGCTTGTTTATGAGGTACTGGGTTGCAGCACAGGGCTCAGTGTCATGAAGACAGGAAACAGTCCTTCTTCTGTTCATTACAGCTTTTCTGGTAACCTAATAGTTCCCCTTAGCATTATTTGCACACCAGCATGGGAGCTGTAACCCTGGATGGCACTGCTGACTGAACAATGCTGTGTTGATTGTTAGGAGTAATCAGATACTCAGTTAACCACTGCAAGTACCAGTATATAAAATACTGAAATATTTCTTACAAACATTTCCAGACACCTCTTATAATTAGTAGCTGACACAGGTGTTCAGCTTCACATACATAGCTTGTATAATCTCCATAGAAAAGCACTGTCAAATGTAAATTACCAAAAATCTAAAATCTAAAATAAATGCTGAAGATTTGTTAGCATTTCTTTTCTAATTTTGTATCGAAGCTGTATTATGATGCAAAAGCAACAGTACTTATTGTCTTGTGAAATTTGCGTATCGTTATACTTTAACTGTATTCTTACAAGGGATGCACGATGATATTGAGTTCTGCCTGTATCGGCAGATATTTGCTTAAAAGAAGACTATCTGCATCAGATGTTTAGATTTGAGTGTTATTGAAATAGGTGATATAGTTATTACCAAAAAGTGTTGAGATCATTTAATGTGATTTGATTAAGCATTTCTTATAAGTTAATTAATGCTAAAAAAAAATATGGATAAAAGCTTAGCGTAGAAATTAAGTCTAAGCTGCAGCGGACCATGTGTGTGTGTTTGCAGGGGGGACCAAAATGTCAAACAAACTGGAAGAGCCGAACGTTAAGGCAACACAGGCCTTCGGAGCTAAAATATCTGCATTTTATTCATTTATACTTTTGAAACCTTATATAAATAAACACTACATTTATCCATCATGTTAATCCGGGTAGAAATTTGTACATTTTATAAGTGTTTAAGCATTGGCATTAGTATCTGCATTGACAGATATGTGCATGAAAAATACTGAATGCCAGCATCAGCTCACAGTTCTCATATTTGTACATCCAAAGTATTACACTGCGTGCATGCATGTACTGTGCACTACTATATGGTGCCTGGATGTTAAAACACTGAAAAAGTGATGCATTGAATTTCCGTGATGGAAATGTGTACATCATTTAAACATGCATACAATGTATTATATCAACAGTGTTACTTCCAAAAGTAAGTGAACTGAAAAACAAAATAATGTTGATCTATTTTATTTATTTAGAAATTATGTACACGTGAGAGTAAATACACTGTCAGTCACATGCATGTATGTCATACACTGATGGTTAGCAACACTTTTTCATGTGTTTATCCTGCCTGTTCACTTATAGGAGTGAACTACAACAAATCAATGATATTCTAACAAGATCAAGAAAGCAAAATACTGAATGCTCCTCACTTTGCAAGCTGCAAAAATGTCCAGTGATGTCACAAAAACCAACACATTTTCATATATCGATCTATTCAGGCTACAGGAGTTTAGCCCCTCTCATTCACACTGAAGTTATGAGGAGTGAACTGTTTTTTGAACGAGGCACAGGTCAACTACATTACATTACATATTTCAGACTTAAAGGCAAAAGGTGCTTGATTTAAGATTGATTTCATGGTGTGTTTGTGTATTAAGTAACATCACAGGGCTGATAACCTGGTTATGCAATGCGTTATTTCTCTCTATTCCTTCTGTCAAACATAAACACATGCTCCACTGACTGAAGTAAAGTGTAAATGCAATCTGAACATTCTTCCGACATGTTAATAACATCCAAAGTCTTTTTTCTTCCTCACAGTTATTTTTCCCTTCATTAACTCTTACAGACACTCAAATATTAAAATTAATCTGCACACACCGGCCTGGTGTTCACTAAGAGTCCTGTTGATTGATTTAATCCGGTCTTGGTGACTGTATAATTTAATCAGCATTGTTATTCTAATTGGATGGGTTCCTGACTAATTAAATTAAATTTAATTAGCATTTTCTTGGCCATTTGAGGCGATTATGTCTTCACAGAACTAGCTCTGATTCTCAGCTCAAGCGCGGTACTGAGTGATTTAATTGGTCGCCTGTGTGGTGCTATTAGTGCAGTTCGAATCTAATCAAACGCTGCAGTTACAAATCAGTGTAGTTTGAAATGGCATGACCAAAGTTGCATGTTGAGACCATGTTTTGCATTTAATTACGTTTCTTTAAAATGAAAGTTTTTCAAGATGATGTTGCTTCTCTCATTAGGACACAGCAGGGCAGGAACGCTACAGGACCATCACCACAGCCTACTACAGGGGGGCCATGGGCTTCATCCTCATGTACGACATCACTAATGAGGAGTCCTTTGCTGCTGTACAGGACTGGTGAGTGACTTCTGAAACCTGGTGTCAGATTATAAAGAATATTTACAGCATTTTCTGCCTTTTCTGGTCTGATAGTTTTCTGACCCTTTTCCAATAATCAAACTGCTCGGTAAGTAATTTGGATTGAACGGGGTGGTCTTAGAGGGCTATTAACCTTCACATATGACCACCCATTCCGCCTACAGTACTTTCACCTGCTCAGTCACTCTGAAGGAGAGCTGTTACTGCAGACAGTCTGTAGCGGAGGTATGGGAATGAGAGATGTGGGGTAACTTGAAATTTTTTAGAACGTAGTCTTGTTTGAAATCCGTTTGTTTTATATATTGGACTGCTGTCTGGACTGCTTTTTGAATGAGACACAATACAGGACAGCCAGTCGGCCAGAACAGAGATTATTTACACTAACCAGCCACTTTATACACCACCTTGTTTCTACACTCATTGTCCATATTATCAACTTATCAATAGGAGCACTTTGTAGTTCTACAATTACAGACTGTAGTCCATCTATTGCTCTGCATACTTTGTTAGTCCCCTTTCACCCTGTTCTTCAGTGGTCAGGACCCTCACAGGACTACCACAGAGCAGGTATTATTTGGGTGGTGGATCATTCTCAACACTGCAGTGACACTGACGTGGCGGTGGCATGTTGGTGTGTGTTGTGCTGAGTCTTTACAATCCTCAGTGTCACTGCTGGACTGAGAATAATCCACCAACCAAATTATCCAGCCAACAGCGTCCTGTGAGCAGCGTTCTTATGAATGACTAGAGGCCAATACAAACCGTGGAGCAACAATTGAGCTATTGTCTCTGACTTTACTTCTACAAGGTGGTAGCAGTGTCTAATAGAGTGGACAGTGATTGGACACATTGTTTAAAAACTAGCAGCGCTGCTGTGTCTGATCCACTCATACCAGCGCAGCGCACGCTAACACACCACCACCACGTCAGTGTCAACATTGAAGAACAGGGTGAAAGGAAGCTAACAAATTATACACAGAAACAGGTGGACTACAGTTTGTAATTACAGCATTTCAAAGTGCACCTGTATGGTAAGTGGACACAACATGTACAATGAGTTAGATACAAGGGGGTGTATTTAATGAAGGGGCTGGTTGGTGTATATCAGTCTTAAAGGCACAGTAAAAAAAACTTTATTGGTTTTTGGTACATAAAAACACGCAAATTTTATAAATACAGGAGAAGAAAATGAAATCTAAGAAATATAAAGAATACTGACCCTGACTTAAATATCTGTGCCTTTCATACAACAGGTCTACACAGATAAAGACATACTCATGGGATAATGCCCAGGTGCTTCTGGTGGGCAACAAGTGTGACATGGAGGATGAAAGGGTGGTCGCCGCTGAAAGGGGCCGACAACTATCTGAACATCTTGGTGAGTTTATTCTTCCCTATTCAAGGCATTTATTGAACTATTTATTTACACATCCAGGACATAAATGCTATTCTTGTGTGTACATACTGTAGAGTAATATTTCTGAAATTTATAAAAGTGTATTATTGCCTCTGATTGCTAGAAGTGAACTCAATACAGATTAGTTTATGGCTGTAATGTAATGTCTTAAAGCACTGATTTGTCCATATTTTGCCCATTTTAATAGTAAGTCTGTTTTACAGATAACAGTAGGGCAGCACGATTAATCATATTTTTTATCGCCATCATGTTATGAATGTCCATGATAAATGAATTACTAAGAGCTGCAATGACAGGACAGATCAAATTACATTTGCAGTGCAAGAGTGACATCATTAGATTTGGTGGGAATGTAACGTCAGGAGCATTAATGTCTAACATTAGAGCGAGCCAGGCTCAAACTCTGCTTTCCTGCATGCAGAGCAAGTGATTTAGCCACTCTGCTAAAGAGCCAGTTACAAAGTATATATAACCACTAATCTTTCTTCTAAATGACTGTTCTGATTCCTAGTGTGTAGAATATGTAAAGGCAACTGTTACAACAAACCTGCATCACCATAAGGAGCATTCATATTTATATATATATATGTGTGTGTGTGTTTGTGTGTGTGTGTGTGTGTGTGTGTAAGTGTGTGTGTGTGTGTGTGTTAGCTATTAGTCATTCATTTTTTTAATTTGGACTTTGCACAACAGTGAGTACTTTTGTAGGTTAACATTTTTCATGATTTTCTTAAAGCAGAGATTCTAATGTTATTATTTTAGAGTCTGCATTTGTTGCACACTATTTTATTTACAGTTAATCGCAACTCATATTATCACAATATCGAGTACAGTTATCAAACATTGCATTTTATGTGCGTAGCGTGCTGCTCTAGACAACAGTATGTCATACAGTATGTTGAAACCAAGAAAGCCTATTTGAAATAAAAGCAAAGTAAAAACGGTGAAGATGTGAAGTTTGAACAGCAAACATGTTTTGGCTGATCGACTATATTTGGGATATTTGCGTAAATTTTAGTTTTAGTTTTGACCAAAACACTGCTTTTCTCTCAGTTTATCATAAGAGCAGTTGTTCATTTTAACGTGTAAATTTCTTTTTGCTCCAGGTTTCGAGTTTTTCGAGGCCAGCGCCAAAGACAACATTAACGTGAAGCAGACATTCGAGCGGCTGGTAGACATCATCTGCGAGAAGATGTCAGAGAGTCTGGACGCCGCTGACCCCGCCGTCACAGGGGCCAAACAGGGGCCGCAGCTGACCGAGCAGCCGACTGCCCCACACCAGGACTGTGCGTGCTAAAAGCTAAAAGAGTCCCCCTCCCTAAAGCCTCTCCAAATACACTGCCCTGCACTACCACATCCAGGATAAAAGGTAATACAACAATAAAAAGGGTTAAAGAAAAGAAATCTAAACTCGGCTCCTCCCACAACACGTATTCCCTCTCATTTTCTACCCAGGCCCTTTTCCACTATGTTTCGTTTCATTTTGAGAGCATGATTTAATTTCATTCCCCATGACACTATGTTTATGAATATGTCCACTTTTGCTACCCACCAGTCTCAGACTCGGTGAGGGAAAGCCATATTACACGTTACGATTTTACCATTAGTCCTAAGTTTGGCGAGGCACAAACTATGACTTTGTGTGTTAGCTTTTTTGCTGAATGCTGTCTCCTCTGGCCTTTATTGTGCCATTTTTCATCTTTTTTTAACCCTCTTTCGTTTCTTTATATTTTTGTATAACTCCTTTTGTTCTCATGCTCTCCTTTTGTTAAATGAATTACGAACAAAGAATAGAGAAGAAATTTCTGTATATTTATTCCAAATGTGTATATAGACAATGTGCAGTATTTAATTGATACAGGTATAGTAACATATTCAAGAACGTTTTTGAAAACGACATCATTCCGAGAGTTATGAAGAAAACGAGAAGTCATGTTAGTGTTTTTGTGGTAATCCTTTGCATTGCTCGTCACAAACCTCTCTCGCCGAATTGTAGGTGTACCTTTTAGTCACTGGACTGCTTCATCTTAAACCCCTTCATGAGACTTTGTGAAATTCAATTGTCATCCACAGATATTCCTCAGTGTAAAAATGCATGGAAGGAAATGAAGCCATTTAGGCGAATAGTTATCAGATTCTGCACTGTTGATTTAGATCCAAACACTTGCAAACTGAAAGATAGTTCACTATGTGTTCTTGCAGTCACAACATTGTAGCAGCAGGACTTTTATTCTGCCACGTTTAAAGGAGTATTCCATTATTTTTCAAACTAATCTCCATCTACCACATTTGCAGTACAGTCAAGTACCTTGGACAGTAATTTCCCTCTACTTAGAAAAGAGCAGAAGAAACATTGATTCGAAACACATTTATAATGGACATCAATGGGCAGATGCTTCAGCTGAAGCAGCTGGTTATTGACTTCCATTGACTTCAATTATAAAATTCTGGTTCTTTTGCTAAGCTCAGAGCAGTGTGACAAAATTGTAGTGCTAATGGACCATATGCTCCAGATACGGCAGAGATTAGACTGACAAATGCTGGAAGTTCCTTTAAAAGCTCCACCTGCCAAACCATCCTTTGGCCCAAGTTTCAAAGAGTGGAGTCCTCTGATTTTGACCTAAGATAAATGTTTTAATGTCCAAACGACGGTAGGACATTTATTCTTACACTGTGCTGCAGAAGACAAGTTAAGGAAAACATCTTCTCATGTTGTAAATGTGTACTTGTAACGTTACAAGGCCGATCGTCAGGACTGTTAGTAGACATAGCTAATATAGGCATTATTAAAAATATAAGGCAGTGATGACAGGAACCAGTGCCCCTAAATAACTTTTTTGTGACTTCAGTGAATTCTCCCTGTACTACGACAGATAATTCCCAGCTTTTTTTTCCTTTGCTATGCTGTCTTCCTGAAAACTACTGTAAATATATTTGAGTCTTTAGTTTTATGTGTGGATTGTGCTGTATTGACTCTGGGTAAAACAAGAAGAGATAAGAGAAAAACTTAAATTATTTAAAGTATGTGCTTTATCTGCTATTGTGTATGCCTGCTTGTGAATGAATGTGTCACTTTATTACAAAGCAATATTGAGAAAATATCTTTTGAAGTATTATTCGTTATTTCGTCACATCCTTTTAGGTATGAGGGGAATATTAAAGGATTTGCAAAAAAAAAAAAATACCGGTACATGGAATCTCACAGGTTTGCAGGAATGCTTCTTAAATGTGTTTGCTATGGTTTTTAAGTTAGCATGTCCCGTCTTACTTCTCAGTGGGAAGAGGATGATTTGAACAGGAAAACAGAGGCAATAAAAAGTCTACAGCGCTCCAGTGTGACACCAGATAGTGGTGAGGTTGTCCAAGCAGACCCTTGTGTCCTCCGATTTACTTTATTATGATCATAATAATAAATTGAATCATGTGCATCTGATGCAAACACAGAAGCAAACGTTCAGCATCCTCAGTGCTCCATTTCACATCACCCAAACACTGAAACCACACAGAGTTTCAGTAGGAAAAACACCTGCGCGTTGCTTTTCTATTTTTATTGCTTTACTGTCTTACTTTCGTTGGTTTGTTTTACAGTCTTCACTCTAATTTGTATGCCTCATTGTGATCTTTTTCTATTTATTTTATTTTTTCTAATTTTCTTTTTCTTATATAAGACTTCAGTGTACGTTTAAGAAAACAAGATCAACTATTATGCAGTAGTAAATTTACTCTAAATACAGGGGTATGGTGTCAAATGTTCAATGGTGAAATTTACCAAACCAATTGTCTATGTTGTGGAAAATACAGAAATGGAAAAAAATAAATAAAAATAAAGGTTTGTGCTGTAAAATGAACTTGCATTTTTTCCATCATTAGACATGCTTGAACACTTCTATGCACTGTAATGAAAAAAAGTCTAAGTAGAGCTGCACTAGAGGGCACCAGAGGACAGTCTTTTCTTGGCACCAATCTAAAAATAGCTCATTGCCTTTGGGGGAAATATGACGTCAAAAACACAGCCTGCATCAGCTGTTGCCATGGGAACAGAGAGACAGAATGATCAGGTGATTTATGAAGGAGGATGATAAGCCTTGGCTGGAAAAGAAAAATGCAGGAAAGGTTGACAGTGTCCTATAGCACAAGTAAAATGTTCAGTTAAAGGTAATCTTTCAGTCCCTCAGGGAAGGAATTGTTTTCTTATGGCTTTTAGAATTTGACACAGATTTCAGAGACTGGAGTCCTCTGTTTTTGACCTTTTGTACATTTTTAATATGTGATAAGACCGGCGACTTTGATTCATATGCTTTGTTGCAAGAAATAATTGAGGAAAACATCTTCTCATGATGAAATTGTGTGTTTGGTGTGATCAGGAAAATAGGCATTATTTAAGATATTAAAGGCAATATGACCTAAAAGAACTTGCGAATTAAGATCAATATCATTATAAACCTGTTACTCTGGTAAAATCCTAAGTTCTTGGGAGTCAAACCAGAGAATTCATAGCATTCTGTTATACTGTTAAAAGAAACAGAACTGGTCACTGCACAACAGCATTAGTAGTTGATCAGATGATCATATTTAAAGCCTTGCACTGTCCTGCATGATATTGCATAGGGAATTAAAAACCATAATATTAATCTATTATTTCAAGCAAGCAAGAAACCATCTGAATAAATTAACCTTGCTGAAAAAAGAAACCCATGTCAGAAGAAACAGCAAAGGCTTGCCAACACTCCCAAAAGATGTCAGGGCATAGATGTCTTGACATAACTGATACAGAAAAGTGAGCAATATTGATGCTACTGAAATGGTACAAAATTCAGTTAAAAGTCAGTCAAAAATTCAGTTTAAATTGGTTTTATGTAAAATGGTTCACTGCAGAAAAACTTACTGACTGATTTCTTTACAGTGGTGGAGATAGCAACCAGGGGTCACAACGTGTACAACCCAAATATAGTCGATTTGTTTACTATCCAAAACAACCAGTGAACGTCCATGTGAGTACATGTAATGCTGATAATGGTAAAATAGATGCAAGGAAAAAAAAAGTCTTCTTTAGGTACTATTTTAGCTTACAGTGTCCTGCATGTACCTCTTAGCCATGAAAGTCTTTAAAAAAACAAAAAGTTTTATGCCACAATTATCAAAAAGCAATGTCTCAGACATTGGATACGTCTCAAGACATCTGGTTCTTGTAATGACCACTGCGTACAATTCTGACTGAGTTTCTCTAGAACAGAACATTTCACATCAAACCACTCAAAGACTTTTCTTACATCTTAAACATTTAATTATGCAAAAAATTGAACCAAAAAAAGAAAAAACAGTGGAATTCTCCCTTAAGAGCATTTCTAGCAAGACTGATGCTCACCTGAAGAGGGTGCTATGCCATTACTGATCAATCACAACAGGACCTGAGTGGACATAATTAAAGCTGACATTTTCTTATTTTTCCTACATGCTCCTTGCTTTCACTGGCTTGTTTATGGATCAAAGTACAAGCATTTACTCCATAACAGTGAGTTACTAATTATTAATAGAGACTAGGAGCAACAAATAACAAAAAACGTTTATTGACAAGTTCACTGCACATAATTTACAGCATAACTGCATATCTATTCCAAAACAAAAACAGACATGTCAGGTAAAAACAAAACAAAGAAACTCAAACCAAAACCCAAAGACCACGGAGGAAATAAAAATAGTTACCTTACTTCAGAAAACGGATGCCATTTTTGTTAATGAAGAGTCCAAACTAAAATTGAAAATATCCGGGGCATCCCAAATGATCTTTTTTTTTTTTAATTGACAGTCTATGAAATATGAAAGTACATCAAACCTGAAATTTTGTTGTTTGCATATCACATGTACTATGCAGAAACATATCCAAAGAAAAATGTTTTGGTTTGTTTTTCTTTAGAAAGCTGCTTGGTTACATGTGATGCAAAACATTTTTTAATACTAATCTGTCCAAAATTAAAATCTGATTGTGGGAAGGAAATGTTCTGCAATGCAATGAGAAGTTAGATGCTAGTAGTCTACATCTGGTGAGAAGAACAAAAGATACAGAAAAAAGAGGAGGTACTGTGTGTTCAGTGCTGGTTTTTGACACCCTGTGGTTTTCCAGGTTTTTTGTCTTGCTGCTGTCCACGGCCAGTACCTGGTATGCCTCGTCCGCGGCCACCAAACACACCTAAACAAACACAAATTACATCATTCACTTACGTTTTTACTCATGCTGCTCAGCAAAGGTTTTTTTTTTTTACTTAATATAAGCTCTTGACTGATAATATGCAACATTTATTCACAGTCATCAGATTTCACTTTCTGACCATATTCTGCTTGGACACCCATTTTACCTCGGCCAGCGCCACCTCCTCTGCCCTTTCCCTGCTGTTTGTTCTGCTGCATGCCACCCCTGCCACGGCCTTTGGAGACAACTTCCTCTTTCACCATGTCGATGATTTCATCAGGGATCCGCAAGTATTTGATAGTGCTTCCTCGGATGTAGCATTCAGGCATCCTCCAAAACTTATCTCCATCCTGCACAAAGATATACAGGTGCTGTAAGTTCTCTCAAATTTGGTTATTTCTTCCCTTTTTTGACTGAAAAGACCATTTTCAAACAATTTAGGTATAAACAGAGTTGCCAGTCTTTTAAGGCCTTTATCCACCAGGCAGTATGGTTACAAACCCAAACCCAGAACTATCCACACCTTGGTTGAGTACCTGAGTACCCATCACACAACAGAATCATGAAAGTAGGCAGAGCTCTCTACTTTGTGTGGGCACATGACTTCTCACACAAATCTAGCATTAACAGTAAATAAAAACAGTACTAGCAATGAAGCTTCAAGCTCTGATGTACCTTTAGCTTTGCATTTTGTTTTATGTAAAGAGTCAAATAGATTCTGGCTAGCTAGCTTTTTTTATTTTGTTTTTTTTTAATAATCTCATCTGACTCCAGTGACAAAGTGTGATGATTGTGTCTGTCCAATCAGTGGTTTGCACCATTTCTAGCTTCCCCCATATATTCCAGTTTGGCACACTTGGTACCCCATTGAGAAGGGTAACCAAATTCAGTATGGATACTCAGGTACAGTACTGTTCAATTGGCAGGAGAACCCACTGACTGGTAACCGTACTGTACCGTACTGCCCAGTTGGAAAACACCATAAGGCACACGTACCTTTACCTACACTCATTTTGTCAGAAACACCTACTTTATAGGTGCACTGTGTAGGTTTACAGTAACTGACTGTAGCCCCTCTGTTGCTGCGCTATTTATTAGCACCCCTCTACCACGTCTATCAGTGCAAAGGGACCATCACAGGACCACCACTGATGAGATATTATTTGGGTGGTGAACCCAAGGTCCAAGTTTATCAGGTGCCTCACTAATGTGTGTAGATAGAAGTGTAGGTACCTAATAAGCTGGCAGCTCCAGACCTGCATTACTAGATTGGGCAGATACTCACGCGGGAGGTACAGATGACTTCTCGTAAATTAATGTTCATCCAGTTGTCACAGCTGACCAGATGACCGTTGTAGGTCTCTCCATTCTTCAGCTCCACCAGCTGGAATTAGGAAGTCCATTAGCTACACACTAACACTGGACCTCGCAGTCCAGTAGTTCATTTCATTACGCCCCTGATGGCATAATGCTTCAGCTAAATATACTGCTGTACTAACATTCATAATGCTTCAGCTAAATATACTGCTGTACTAACATTCATAATGCTTCAGCTAAATATACTGCTGTACTAACATTCATAATGCTTCAGTAGCTAAACTTTAAAGAAAAATATAGTCATGCAGACACTAAACATAAGTCTCTTTAGTTCTAATAGACACTGAATCATCAAAGTAACAGAGGCAGCTAAAAGTTCAGTTACAATTTACAGGTTTGTATGTAAACCCATCAAATACGTACCATTGGGTGGTTCTGTGCTGTTTTCAGTAAAGATAGTGGAAGCTATAAGGAAAAGAGAAATTAACCTTTAAGTGAGGCATTCTCATTTCATGCACTTACTAAGGAAGTAAAAAGTAAAAAACAATAAATAAATAAAAAAACAAGCATCAGAAATTTAAAACTGTATTACAGATATGCTCCTCAGTCTTTTCCAATAGTCTCTCATTTGCCATCTTTCATGGAAAAAACAATGTTTTACTGTAGTTTTGTGATAAGGCTTTCGGTCTAAAACGCAATTTAATCAGTTTTTTCTAATCCAATGTAATTCCACACAGTGGAAGGATACAAGAAGGGTGTTCCAAGGCAAAAATAGTCCCAGAAAACCAAAGAAAATGTATTTTATATTTGCCACTATTTTACCATCATTAACATTACATATAAAAAACTCAGAAAACACGAGCAGGTTCACTGGTGGTTTGGGATAGTAAATAAAATAGTTATATTGTATACATGGGGACCCCTGGTTCCTATCACGACCATTGTAAAGAAATCTGAGCCGGCAAGTTTCTCAACAATGAACCATTTCACATCAAACCGCTCTGGATGACTTGGTTCACATCTCAACCCCTTTATTATACAGAAATTTGGAAAAATAGTGGGAATTCCCCTTTAAGGGAGCCTTCGAGCACATTTAAGTACTCACAATCTGTGTTGGTAGTAGCCTTAGCTATTAGCTCTGCCTAGCCAATGAGCCGTGGTCAGAATTTCTTCGTAAATAAAACATTAAGTATAATGTGGGCCTGAACTGCCATTCAGTGATGAGCTCTGATGTCTGAATGCTGCTTTGAGCCTTTGTACCATGAACGCGCTAATTAGCATTAGCGTCTTAGTATTTCTACTGTAGCTCATGCTAGCTAGCAAAGCTAATGGTGCGGTTTTCAACACCAGCGGTTGGCGCACACTTTTCTACAGTGCATAAATGAGATGTACTTACCATATCAGCCGACTGAAATAAACTACCTGGACTATAAATTAAACGGCTGAAATCTGAGGTCAGTAATTTGACAAACTCTCAGTACATGTAGCGGCTCAAACCACATACTTTTCTGCGCCACTAGTTTTTTTCCGGGTTATTGCTGTGCTCCCCGGAAAATATCAAAATAAAAGTTCACCTTCACTGGTGGCTCAACTTTTCAACTTTAAAATAAATCAATTAAAGACAAAAATATTCGTTGTTTTACTTCAGCGATTATGTGACGAGCAATTTAACAATATTCACCATATTGCCATTTTAAAATAACTTCATTACAGTATAATCAAATTGGTCAATACATAAAAAGAAAGATTTATTAGTATGTACACAAGAGTTACAGCAGTCAATGCAAAAATTGCAAAATTATGAGGGTCCTGGAGGAGTCTCTCTGGTATTCTTTCCTTTCTTTTTCAGCATCTTTCCTTTCTTCTTCTGGATGATTTCCTGAATTCTCCCCTTTGATTCCTTTTTTTCTTTTTTCATCTTGGCAAGCTTATGCTTTCTCTTCTCTTCCAGGTCAGGATCCTGTGATTAAACCAGAATAAAATTCCATCATCACCAAACATTTACTCTGCTATTATTATTCAGATGTGTTCAGCTTTTCCTTAAGAGATTATTTTGGTGGTTTATTTTACATCTATGTCCCAGTCCTCCAAGGGTACTTACTTTCCCTTCCAGAATCATCTGCTTCTTTTTGTTGATCTCGTTTTTCTCGCCAAAGTCTGTTGACTCCAGTTTCTACAAAACAAAAAAAAAGAAAATACAGAACATCTAATATCTCTCAAGGATTTGGCCTCTAAAAACATAAATGAAAATAAATCAACTATCGGTTCTTACGATTTCACACTGGCGTCTCATCACATTTACTTGGGTAAGGATCTTTAGCACCTCTTTCTCTTCCACTGGGTACTCTTTTAGCTTGGTCTCTGAAAAGATATAGTACCTTTTTCTCAATTAAAGTTGGAAGCTGTTTGTTGGTAACAGTAATATAACTGAAATGTACAGCATCTACACTCAGCTGTAGTCCTGTCTACCATGTTGTATCACACTGCTGTGCGATAGCTGCATTGCGACAGCTGTAGACTTACGGATTTTCTCCTCAATGGTGTTGACCAGATGAATGTCATACTGTGTAACCAGTGTAATCGAAACACCATTTCTCCCTGAAACACAAAAATACATACTTAAATAGCTGTTTTATTAATGCAAAGGCAAACTGTCAAAGTAGTCTAAATACATACATACCTGCACGGGCAGTCCTGCCCACTCTGTGAATGTAGATTTTAGGCAAGCCTGGAGTATTATGATTGATGACAACTTGCACTGTAGGAATATCCAGACCCCTTTTCAAATAAAAAAAAGAATATAAATATAATGCCATATCACAGATTAGATATTAGAAAATGCAGGTATTTTCTAGAAGCCAAGGAATACAAGAAGAATTTAACAGCACTTGGAAGTTTCCGATTTGCTGCATTATCTGCAAAGGTGAAAGCTTTGTACCTGGCAGCAACATCTGTGGCTATCAGGATCTTGAAGACATTGGACTTGAACTTGGCAAGGTTTGCAAACCGTTGTCTCTAAATAACACAAAAGTAACAATGACTTAGATACAAGAAGATAAGAACACAGTAATGCTGAATAAGACATACACATACCTGTTTCATCATGGAATGCAAGGAGATTGTAGGAAATTTGAATTCCCGAAGCATCATTGTGAGAATTTGGCAATTCCTATAAGAAAAAACAAATCTCATTAATTTCTGCACTGATACAGGGGACAATTTTCAGACAAAACAACAATATAGCCAACTTAGTACAAAATTTTACTTAAGAACACTTACTTGCATGTGTTGGTGAAAATCATGATTGACCAGTCTTCATGTTCATCTTGGAATTTTTGAATAAGATGCACCAAGTAAGCATCTTTAACTTTCTCAGGTGTAAGGATGTATCTTTGATCCAACTCTTCCACTGTCCGGACCCTAAAGGGAGAAATCACCGTGCAAAGTGACCGTTTCACAAACTTTCAAAGTACAAGATGATATGAGGCTCATTTCATTTTTATTGCACATTCTGTATTCAAAGCTATGATTATGTAATTGAGCACTAAGATGAGTTTCGTTTTCCATAAACAAGCCCATCACTAATTCCCATTGATGCTAGTCAATCTCAGGTGTGTGCAGAACTGTGTGGTTAACACTGTCCTCCAAGCATGCTCAGCTGTTCTACAACTTGGCATGAATAGGCTAAGACTAACAATAAATGATAACGGTGCAATTTTAAAAAGTGCAATGGAAATGTGGTGTGGTTTCTTACTCTGACTTGTTTTCCCAGAAAAAAGGCTCATTCATGGCAATGTTTTTCAGCTCCTGCAGTGTATCCGTCAGGGTGGCACTGAACAGCAGTGTTTGCCGTTTTGCTGGCACAACACTGAGAATAACTTCCAAGTCCTTGGTGAAGTCTGTGCATCCCTGCTCAAGCAAACGATCTGCTTCATCCAGGATCTAGAGAGATGAGCACCCAAATTCATTTTCCAAGCTAATTGGTATTAAGGTTCTGTATAATGCTAAAACTTGTAGAGACTCATAAGCGAGTCTGAATTAGAGTACATGTTCAAGCTAAAAACTTACTAAAAATTTGATTCTCTTCATGTTAAAGGTGTCACAACTCCTGATGTGATCTGCTAATCTTCCTGGTGTAGCGACAACAATGTGTGGCTTTTTTGACAGCTCCAAACCTTGGGTCACCATGTCTAGTGGGAAAAGAAAAAAATAGTTAAAAAACGTTCTATGTTACAAACTCTTGTACAAAGGAATAAAAGAAAACAAAGAGATGAAACAGTGTAAGACAGAAGAAGAAATAAGAACACTTATTGTGGTGTGCTATGTTATGGAGCAGAGTTGTGCAGTATCCCCTTTTTTAATACCACCACACCATTTCCAAATATGACCGCAGTATATGGTATTATTGTCTGTCTTAAGTGATGTAAAAGAAGTATGGCGCTTTTTGGCCGTCTCGTCCTGCGTTATTTCAAAATCTAAAAAAATGAAAAAGTTTAGTCTGCTTACATGATCACCAGATAGGTGAACACAGTGCACCAATGTACCATTCAATAAATGTCACACCATCTATCTAACAACTGACAAATACTAAACACAGCTGAAAGCTAAGAGAGTAGTGCTGTTAGCAGTAGCTATTAGCATAGCTAGCCTTATAACGACTCTGCTGACCACAGAACATGTTTAATTCTGGCTAACTAAAGCACCAACACAAGTCTAGATGATAATGACTCAATTCTGAGGGAGTGAAGTCGAGCGTCTGGTGAAGAACGGACAGAAAGGCGATATTAAACCTGTTTTTGGTGTTTGGATCCACAGTGTGATTGGCTAACTTAATGTTAGCTTAGCAAGCAGGCTACAGACCCAAACAGTGCAACCACAACAGTACAGGTTTGAGTCTGACTAACTGGTGATCTGCTGACACAAGTTTATATGATAAAAACTAACGTCGGAGAGAGCAAAAGTCGAGTAAGAGACAAAGCCGAAATCGAACCGGTTATGTGGTGTTTGGGATTGTAACGTTTTAGTTAGCAAGCCAAAAATGCCACACAGCACAGACTTGGTTCAGACTGACTGATGCTAAAATGACACCTGTTTAGAGGATATCTGAGAGGGCAACGTCAATTGACCGGGTAAGAGCTGAATCGAACATGTTCTGTGGCGTGTGTAGCTGTCGCTGAGCTGTTATCATGCTTAAGGCTGCTGCACACCAGTCCCGCAACGTACAAACATTCAAAACCATTGTTTTTAACGCTGGTGCCCAACAACTCTGAGCACTGTTCAATTTCACATGGTGCCACTCAGCATTTTGCCATTACTATGTCAAATGAAAGCCACACTGAGACCACAGAAAGCCATGGTAGATAACAGGTGGCTTAAAATTTACACAAGCCAAGCGCGATTAATGATAGTGAATGAAATACAATTTTTTTTTAATTGTGGTAATGACGGTAATGAGCTCAACCCCACAGTAGGCATCATATGACCATGGTACTGGGGTAACCACAGCCCTATTATGGTATTTTGTTATGAAGGACATATAAATCTGTCTTTTTGTTTAGCAACACTCAGAATAAGTTCAGACGAAGCAACTAACTCCATTTTCCAGCAACTTCTGGTAGCCTTATATTTCCCCAAATCATAGATACTTCTCTACTCTAGCTTAGTAAGCTGTAGTTCAAGTATAGTTTCCCAAAAAGCTAACTATGCAGTCATACCCATCCCTCCAACAATGATGCAGTCTTTCAAACCCAGTGGTTTCCCCAGCACCCGGAACTGTTCCGCTATCTGATAAGCCAGTTCTCTGAGAAGAGACAAGAAAGAGACAACAGACATGTCAATGCATAATCTCAGCCATATCAGATTCTTCTTACTGCTAATAATTCCCCATGTAAGTCTCTCTTTCAGTACAAGCACTGCTCATAAACATAATGTGTAAAGGAAGCCAACCTTGTGGGTGTCAATACCAAGCAGAAGATACCATAGGGATCCTCAGACAGTTTTTGGAGGACTGGTAAAACAAAAGCTGCCGTTTTGCCGCTTCCAGTTTTTGCACAGCCCATACAATCCCGACCTGCAGAAAACAAAAAACATCAAATTACTCACTAATGTCTCTCTTTAATTTTGCAGTGTGATGACAAATTAAACATCTACAACTATTCAGAAGGTACGCATAGTGTAACCTAGGAACAGTAAAACTTCAGGCCAGTTTTCCAGACAAAAGTTTAATTCTAAACCAAAACTAAAGATTTTTAATGAGAAATTATTTTCCATTTCTTCTTAAGTATTATTATGAGGAAAGGAATCTAAAGGGATTACGTTTTAGTCATTAACTTTTCATTATTAATTTATTTTTTGTGATTAATTTCAACATGCTGCATTGGTGAAAGCTCCTGCTTTGAGAGCGTTTAAAATGTTAACGTTTTAAACTCAAAAAGAGAAGAACAGCACTTTATAAACTTCGATTCCTATGCTGTTAGATGTTGCACTGCAGCTAGAGGACTCGGAAAGGGGAATTCCATTGCTTTTCAAAATTTCTGCATAATTAAGTCTTTAAGATGTAAACAAAGTAATTGAGAGTGCTTTAAAGTGAAATGTGCCCTTTTAGAGAAACCTACAGAGTCAGAATTGTTTAGAGTGGTGGTGAACCAGATGTCCAAAGCCTTTAATGTCTCTAACAGAGAGATGTAACATTTCTTTAAATTTGTAGCTTCATCACTAAGACGTTGTTTTACAATAGTTTGGAGGTTTTGGCATAAACAGTATTTTTAAATACATTCATGGTGGAGAGGTACATGCAGGGTGTTGTAGGGCAAAATATTACCCAAAGAAAACTTCTGATTTACCACTTATCAGCATTATATACAGAAACTCAGAAGGTCTACAATTAACCATTTCATTTCAAAACACTCTGAATAACTTTGTTTACGTCTTTTTAACTGGATTATACAGAGGGTATTCCTCTTTGAGTAGTTGTTTGACATGGTACTTTTGTTCTGGTACTGTTGTTCCTTCTACTCAAGTTGTTTTGTTATGAAAGCCAATTTGCACCACTTGACAGACAAAAAAGACCATACAGTATGTCATAATAGCAAACTCATAATTATGAAAAAGTAAGTCATACTTATGAGGTGCTAGTTCATAATTATAAGAAAGTAAGTCATAATTATGGGATACTAAATCATATTTATGAGATACTAGGTCATAAGTATGAGAAAGTAAGTCAGAATTATGAGATCAAATATCATTATTATGAGACATTGTCAATTATGACATAGCATGTAATAACTATGAGATGCTAAGTCACAATTCTGACATACTAAGTAATAATTGTGAGAATATAATGCATAATTGTGAGATTCTAAGTCAGAATTATGAGTCATTATTACAAGATATTAATTCATAACTATGACATACTAATTAATAAATTGTGAGAATGTAAGTCATAATATGACAATACAAGTCATAATTAGGAGTCATTATTATAAGATATTAAGTCATAATTATGATACAGTAAGTCATAATTATGACACACTAAGTAATAAATTGTGAGACTGTAAGTCATAATATGAGATTCCAAGTCATAATTATGACAGTCATTATTATAAGATATTAAGTCATAATTATGATACAGTAAGTCATAATTATGAAAAACCCATTATTATGCCTTCCTAAATGGCTGTATATATTTTCCAGTGATTTCCATAAAAAGTATTGTTACTTCTACTTGAGTCACTATTTCAAACAATACCGTTACTTGAGTGAGGGTTTAGGATATCTTACTATACCCTCCTCTGATTACCACCACACCACACACTGACATCACAGTACAGTATTTAATTCCTGTCAGGGACTCGACCCTCAAGACCCTCAGAGCCTACCTTCTAAAATAGCCGGTACACAGTTCTCCTGTACAGGGGTCGGCCGAGTGATGCCCATTTGTTTACACTGCTGCTCCAGCCACTCGGACAGGCCGAGGGACGCGAAGGTTGCCATTTATTCCCGGCCGAATATGATCAGGTCGACCGTCACAGTGAGAAGTGGAGCTGGTAAAGCTCGGGGTGTTTATCTGAAAGCTTTTTCTGCCTTTAAAGCGGCGAAATCGAGCGCTTGGACTCCTCGTGGAGCGCTCTGTCGGGCGCATGTGGTTACGTCACTCAACTGCGTCCTGCGAAGCGAAGGACACGCCTCCTTGTAGTTTGTTCACACAAAAAGTGCTGCGCAAATTTAAAATAAATAAAGATTTCTAGAAGAAATTAAATAACGTACGAAAGCCATCGGCAGCTGTAGTCAATCGTATATCTGATATTTAAAAAAATACGTGTGGCTAACTCTGTACTGTGCATCAGCCGCTTATTTAGAAATTCCTTTCGCACATTCTGCGCAGCTTCAACGCGATGTGAACGCACACAAAGCCTGATGGCATGACGTAGTGTAGTTGTGCGGTTCGGATTCAGGGGAGAAATAAAGCGCAGGTGATGCGTGAAGAAGAGGAAGAAAAGGAATTTAACTCCATTCGTACATTTTACACCGCGAATGTTGTTATTCGAGCAGGTCCATCACTGACTATATAGTGCCCAGCAGTCGGAATGTAAACATTTACTCTCGAATGATTTCTGAAGAGCTTTAGGACGCTGTAGCGAATACCTGTAATATGAAGACTATGCGGCGGTGTGTGCTGAGGGGACTTTCAGCCCACGCATGATGCCCCTCACCGTGAATGCCATGACCGAAGATGGCGGAGTTGGATGGTGGGGAATTCTCTGCGAATCGTTCACAGAGCAGGTAAAGTTAAGGAGCCTCTCAAGCGGACTTAAATCACTGACTGTGTCAACACGACGCAGCTTTATCTAGTTCTCCGCGTTGAACGTGCAGTCGGTCTACTGAGAGGTCAGGGCACTGAACTGTGAGCACCAAAGTGAGCTTTAGAGATCCTCTGTTTTGGAGGTTGTATTAAAAGAGGTTGTGATTCTTGGCTGAGTAACATCCAGTAATGTGCTGTAGCAAAAGACACAGTAGATGAGTAATGACATGAAAATATATTAGTCCCACCTTACCTATGTACAGTATGTTCCATAGACATGTCCTGTTCTGTGCCCCACTGTTACTGGTTGGCCAAATTACTCGGTGGTCTGTGCTCGTATTTCATAGGACCAGTTCCCCAAACACAGATTTTAGGTATAAATATGGTTTAAATATATAGTTTTTATATAGATACTATGTAAATATACGTTATTTCACTAGCAATGGATTTCAGGCCAGCGTTAAGCAAAGCTAAAGGTTTCTCAGACCCAGATTAAATGTAAACCTACACTAAAATTACAATTATCAGTGGTGTTTCACTGTTGGCCCCGCAAATTAGTCCAAGATTAGGCATAATCCATGTCCAGGAAACAGACCCAAATAATCTACATTCTTTGCTTAATCTGATTCCAGAAAATTGGCCACTGGTGAATGTATAGAACCATTAACTATGGTAATGTTTACTAATGTTTTTATTTTTATTTTTTACATTTATTTACATTTACAATTACATTTATCTCAGTGTGGTATATTCTTCTGAATAATGAATTTAAACACTATTGTAATATAAGTGTCAGATTTTCTCTCATCCTCACAGTGCGTGGTGTTATATCATTCTTACGCTCTTCCTGAGTCAGGATCGGTTATTTCTTTGATGAATAATTGACTGCTGATAAATAATTAAAAAAGAAAGGGCAGTTGCTGGTGTCATGTTGATTCGTGCTTAGAAACTGACAAACTGTTGCTGGGGAATTGTAATACAACAGACCAGTGAGACGCATTTCTGAAGTTTCATGGATTATATAACCAGAGATTATGAGCCGAGAGTTGTGAGAGATAAAAGGCCCATGTAAACCGATTCCTCTTTTTCAGCATGGCTAACAATAAGAACAGCTCCCTCCGCTGCACGTTCTCAGCCCCTAGTCACAGTAGCACTCTTCTGAAGGGGTTATCTGCCCTGAGAGAACAAGGCCAGTTGCTGGATGTGGTGCTCGCCATCAACGAAGAACGCTTTCAGGTTCACAAAGCCGTTCTGGCCTCCTGCAGCGACTACTTTAGGTAAGATGATACTTTAAATTGTAGATAAGAGATAGTTTAATGCTTGTTTTGCAAAGTGAATGGAGTTTTGTGAAACATAATATGTGTCAGTCAATAATTTTTGCAATTATCGAGCACTTCCTTTCAGTTTGAATCATTAAATCAAATGGTTACAGAGTCTCATGTTGAAATATATTTGGCCTAAGTGGTGAGTGCAGTATTGTGTATTGACTGTAGAACAATGATGTCACAGGTTTGTTGATGTTGCTGAGTGCTTATGTTAAGTGTCCATTTCTTCCAGAGCTATGTTCACTGGCGGCATGAAGGAATCAAACCAGGACACTATTGAGTTAAAGGGCTTGTCAGCCCGTGGACTGAAGCACATCATTGATTTTGCCTACAGCTCTGAGGTCACTCTAGACTTGGACTGCATTCAGGATGTCCTTGGGGCAGCCGTCTTCCTCCAGATGGTGCCGGTGGTGGAGCTTTGCGAGGAATTCCTCAAATCTGCCATGAGCGTTGAAACATGTCTGAACATCGGCCAGATGGCCACCACCTTCAGTCTATCCTCCCTGAAGGAGTCCGTCGATGCTTTCACCTTCCGCCATTTCCTGCAGATCGCAGAAGAGGAGGACTTCCTTCACATCCCGATGGAGCGGCTGGTCTTTTTCCTGCAGAGCAACAAGCTGAGGAACTGCAGCGAGATCGACCTGTTCCGTGCTGCCATCCGCTGGCTGCAGCACGATGAGTCACGTCGGGCCGGGGCCAACCAGGTGCTTCGCCATGTCCGCTTTCCACTCATGCGCTCCTCTGAGCTGGTGGACAGCGTCCAGACCGTGGACATCATGGTGGAGGACGTGCTGTGCCGGCAGTACCTTCTTGAAGCCTTCAACTATCAGATCCTTCCTTTCCGTCAGCATGAGATGCAGTCTCCTCGCACGATCATTCGCTCAGATGTTATATCGCTCATCACGTTCGGTGGCACGCCTTACACCGACAATGACCGCACGGTTAGCAGTAAAGTGTATTATCTCCCTGATGGCGCAGCACGGCAGTTCAAGGAGCTGACTGAAATGGAGTCTGGCTGCAGCCATGCTTGTGTGTCTGTTCTGGACAACTTTGTGTACGTAGTGGGCGGCCAGCACCTGCAGTACCGTAGCGGTGAAGGTGCAGTGGATGTTTGCTTCCGCTACGATCCCCACCTAAACCAGTGGTTGCGCATCCAGTCCATGCAGGAGAGCCGCATCCAGTTCCAACTCAATGTCCTGCAAGGCCAGCTGTATGCCACTGGAGGGCGTAATAGATCCGGAAGCTTATCTTCTGTAGAATGCTACTGCCCTAAAAAAAACGAATGGACTTACGTAGACTCTCTAAAGAGAAGGATATGGGGTCATGCTGGGACGACATGTGGAGACAAACTCTACATCTCTGGGGGATATGGGGTTTCTGTGGAGGACAAAAAGACCCTCCACTGCTACAATCCAGTCACAGACCAGTGGGACTTCAAATGCCCCATGAATGAGCCTCGGGTTCTGCATGCTATGATCAGTGTAAATGACCGTGTGTATGCTCTGGGAGGCAGGATGGACCATGTGGACCGCTGCTTTGATGTGCTAGCAGTGGAGTATTACGTTCCAGAGACGGATCAATGGACAACCGTCAGTCCTATGCGTGCAGGCCAGTCTGAGGCTGGCTGTTGCTTATTGGACCGAAAGATCTACGTCGTTGGAGGATACAACTGGCATCTGAATAATGTCACAAGCATCGTCCAAGTCTATAACACTGAGACGGACGAGTGGGAGAGGGATCTGCACTTTCCAGAGTCTTTCGCTGGAATCGCTTGCACTCCTGTAATACTGCCACAAACTGTCACTCAGCGATGATGGCCTAGCAAGAAAATGTGAGGTGATGTGTTACATGGGATAGCTAAAGTTACGTCTTAATTGTAACATTTCCTGCCTGCTTTCTCAACCAGTTGCATTTTGGTTATGAACTTTTATATAGTTCTCCCAAATGGAATAATCCAGTATTTTTCAACCTAATCTCTATCTGCCTCATCTGTATTCTACTCTTGATTACAACAGATAATAGTTATCCCAGTGCTTAGAAAAGAACAGTAAACCTGTTTTCTCAAAACTCACTTGTGACATCAACCAAAGTGCTGAATAAATCTTAATAGCATACGCCGGTTAAATTGAAATGTAGCAACAATAATAACCATCATTAGATCATTGCTCAATAAAATAAAAATGAACGTGAAATAATGGCATAATAACCAAACACTCAGCTGTCCGAAGATAAGTATCACAATTTTATTCATTAAGCAATGCTTCCAAACAACATCCCAAACATTTTTAGTCTGGATAAACTGCATTTTATGGTGTTCTCACACTGGACAATGATGAAAGCAAGACTGTAGCCTTCACCTGTTTAATCCTAAAACTCTTTACATAAAACATGTTACATATCACAAAAAATTGACCAAAGTAAATATATACATCCTTTTGACTGCACTAAACTGTCCTCTCCTAAAAAGATTAGCTGTTTTATTTCCTGTACATCCTTTTTGTCCCAAGTGCGGGTGGCAGCATCACTGATGGGTGACTCCAGCTTGTTTAAAAAGTGTTACAAGGTATGGGCAGTAAGGAGTAAGAATTAAAGCTACACTGTGTAATAGGTTTTTGTTAAAACTGAACAAAGTATTCTGGAAAAAAAAACAAACACGCTAATATATGGTGTTCATGTGCTGCTGAGAGTCAGCCTGGAAAGCCTGAAATAATAATTTAAAAGAAGTGTCCAGGATTTGCTGGATTTTTTCAGAACAAATTATCCTTACATCCTTACATGTTAATGTCACACACACAGGTTCAAAAAGAAGGTCTCAAATGCTAAATTAATATTATACTGATGAAGAAATGATGAGAATAGTAGATAATTCACTCACATCCTCGGAAGACACGTCCTTCATCAAGTTCCTACTCTTTTAACACGCTCGCAAACATCAGATTTATCTGCTCTAGAGGGATCTGAAGCACATCAGACTTTACAAAATGTTCTTCCACATATTGCATCACCCACCAAGGTGGTCTCCGAATCCTCAAAACGTATATAGAGTAGCTTTAAGTAAGGAGAGAAAATAAAGTTAAAGGCAAAATCTGTTAAAGTTGAGAGGCATGGTGTGAGAACCTAAACATCAAATTTGAATCCGAATTAGCAAACACACATTATCTACGCACACATTATCTACATGCAGATTATCTAAGCTGCTTATCTTCTTGAGTCGCTGGGGGGTGCTGGAGCCTATCCCAGAAGGTGGGAAACACCCTGTACAGATTGCCAGTCCATCACAGGGCAGATTTTGGGACATGACATCTGAACCTGACCAAACTGGGGAAAAAAGCGCTAGTCCCATCTCTGAATGAATTTTACCGATTCACGGCTTAATTTACAAAAACCTTTGACTGAAGAATTCATGAAAGTGCTCTACAATAATATTTGTTTCACTTAAACATTTACTGAAGGAGCTCAGCAACTGCCTATTGACTTCTATTATAAGTGAGCTTCGAGTCAGTTCAGGGAAACACATTAAAATCGTTGCCGATCATAATAGACCCATCCGCAACAGATACAGTAGATAGAGATTAGGTTGGAAAATGCTGAAATATTCCTTAAACTTGATTGTAACTGTAATTTCAGTGGTATGAGTGTAGTCTTGGTCTTTTTGTCCTGTGTGAGCATCTTTTACAAGGTGTATGACCAATTCATATTCCCTTGCATATTGAATGTCTAAAGGCAAGCCTTTCATGTGTAGCTGAGATATCCATGTGTGATCATTTATAACTACTACAAAATTAGGTACAAAGATTATAATAAGCTATGATCTACAACCCAAACATCATGTAAGCGCAGAGTGGATAAAGACAAAAATTGCTTTATGACCTCTACGATGACATCCAACTATGCACCTTCTTTGAAAAACCTTAACGGAATAAGATACTGGATTAGATATACTGTAACGGTCCTGTAGCAAGTAGAGTACTTAATGTTCTCTTAGTGTGTGGGCAGTTTTTGCTGGTTTCTCAGGCCTAGTGCTGAGAGCCCCACCCTCTGCACATTTTACTCTTGTCCCTAGCCAACTGGACCTGATTCAGCTCATCAGCTAATTAACAAGGCCTTCATCAGCTGGGTCAGGTGCATTAGAGCAGTGAAATCATGGAATTGTACAGAACATAAGGTCCTTCACAAACCTCTGAGGAAATTTCTCAACTCATTAGCACTTCTAGGGAAGATTGTATCCCATCTTTGAAAGTGTGGGTTAAAGGCATTGTTATGTGAAAAATCAAATTTACACAGTTTTCTCTTAACCCCAAAATGTAGTCGAGTCATTATCATGAACATGACAAATACTGGGAGCCAATTTACAAAAGATAAAATGACTAAAACTTCATGTTTTCCTTTTTTTGGATATACAAACAATAATGCTCTTGGTTCAATGCCTAAACTTGAATTATTTAGTTCATATTAAATCTTCCAATTTAAGTGGCCAAATTCTCAATTATTTATTTATTTATTTATTTTTTGGGGGGTAAAATTTTACAGTCTGTATACTTTTGTATATGGTATTTAGCATTTTTATCTCATTACCACAACACATTGACAGCCATTGAGGTTTTTCTTTTCACTTGTGGTTCACATCCTTGCAAGGAAATGCATTAGAAAACACCTGTTTATAACACTCAGACCTTTATAGACATGTTTTGAGGCGGTGTAGCGAGAATAGCTCATCCACCAAGACATTTTCTTGCCATTACAACCGTTTTTATCTTTGTGACATATTTTGTCTATTTATTCTTTTAGATAACTGTATGTCATTCAGTGTAAGTAAACCACTTAAGAAAATCTATTTGAGATTATTTGACATAATTTGAAAGATGCTAATTGCTGGAGTCCAAGATTTCATTACTTGTATTGTAAATCCAGATATCTTGGCAAATCGACTACAATTGGGAGAAAATTGTGTAAATTTCATTTTTTGTGTTTTTTTTTTTTATTTTTCTACTCATTGAAATTTAACTCTACAATGGGTTCTCAATATTTTGCAGGTTTTCTTACTAAAGCACAAGTTTTTGATCACATTTCAAAAAACTTTGATCAGTTCCAGTTACCTCGGTTAATGTCCTTAATAACTCCTTTCTCCCTCATAGTCTTTGTGATGCCTCACAAAGTCAGTAAGCACATAGACGTATTTCAAAATGCACTTTAACCGAATACAGTGTGGCAGGATCCAAGTGTGGACCAGACGGAGTATGTTCACTGTGATGGCTTAGTGGAAAAATACAATGGACTGAAATTCTGGTATGATTTGTATAGTATTACTGCAGAATGAATTGAAGAAAAAAACAACAGAAAAAAACTTGTGGTCTTACATAAGTGTGCTACTGTTACCACAGTGTGTTTTGTAAGACTGCATTGGCATGCTTTTTCTTCCTATATATGAATGTATAAAGATCACCACAGTCTTAAATACTGCAGCATTCAGTAGGTATCTTACAACACTGGATGCTGTAGTGATGTTTTCTAGTTTTTGTTTGTGTTCTATACAATCTGTTTGTATGACGTGATTGAGTTTGTAATGATCAAGCACATTATGGTACTATATCTGTATCGGAACTAGGTGTTGTTATGAAACATAATTTGTCCTCATGAAATGATTAATGGGAGCTATTGTTGGCTCAGGACTTTTCTAGGACAGCGTATTAGCTAATCTGCCTTTAAGGCATTGAACATGAAGGTATCTGGGTAACCTGAGGTAGAGAAAATGTGAGCTAGCACTTTTGAACATAATGAGTGAGACTGAGTTATTTTGATCCTTTGATTTTTTTTTTTTTGATCTTCTTAAACTTTTGACCCTTTGATAATTTTTTTTTAATATATCTCTCACATGATTGTGCAGGCATTACTTATCATTGATGTGCTGTGAAATGACTGCACAATATCTCTAAGTCTCCACTACAATTAGCAAAATGCTTCAGTTAATTTTATTTTATGACATACACTCTTTAAACTATGGTTCTTTGAGGGTTCTTTAGTAAAAGCAGTGGTTCTATTTGGAACCATACGTTTTATATAGAACCATTTTATGCGTAAATGGTCCTTTGCATGGATGGAGAGTGTGTTGTATATGGTTCTATATAGAACTTTTTTGAAAATTGCATCAAAAAAAGGGTTCTTCTACTGTTATAAGCCTGACATTGTAACAGTAGAAAAAAACGTTTGTGGTGCTATATATAGCCTTTTCTAAAGAACCCTTGAACCATCTTTTTAAATATCTAGTTTTCACTAGATCCGATCGAAGCCTTTAGTTGCAGGAACCACCTTTTCATCTTTAAACAATTTTATTCTTAGCTAAATATAAAAAGATGGTTCTTCAAGGGTTCTTTAGTGAACAAAATGGTTCTATATAGAACCATTCAACCATCCATAATCACTCAAAGAACATCATGCAAAGGGCTCTTTGTGCCATGAAAGTGTTCTTCAGATTGATGGAGAATGTGCTGCAGATGTTTCAATGTAGAACCTTTTTAAAAGGGTTCTATATAGCACCAAAAAGAGTTCTTCTATTATCGCGATAAAGCTGGTAACAACAATCCTTTTTAAAGCTATATAGAACCTTTTTCAAAAAGAAAATATAGAACCATCTACAGCACATCGATCTGAGGAACGCTTTTACAATGGCAGAGAACCCTTTAATCATCCAATCTTTGTGTGTTCATGGTTCTATATAGAACCATTTTCTTTACTAAAGAACTCTCGAAGAACCCTCTTTTAAAGAGTGGGAATGGAGGTTTGATGCTTGTCAGCTCTTGCAGAGTTTTGAATTATTAAGGTCTTTATGCTGTTGGTGGAAAATAAAGGGTGACTTAAAATCATTTTTATACATGAAACAAGAAATTACCTCTTTGGCTTTGGTTTCAACTCTCCTACCATCAGGTCTTTGTTGACAGAGAAAGTGGAATGAATAGAAAACGTTAGCCAAGAGTTAGTGATGTGCTAGTGTATGTGTTAAATTATATAACTTATTAAAGACCAATGATTTCAGCATCTCTAAAAGTTGTTTAAGTTTGGCCCAAATCACCCCTGTTCCTTCAAACTATTCACATCTTAACGTTATGACTAAGAGCTTAGCATACAGCAGTCTCTGCTCATTCAGGACCTGGAAGAAGCATTAAACCCCCATCCACCGTGTAATGTGAAGATTAAACTAAACTTATTCAAGGCTGAAAATTTCGTAGTTTATACAAACATCTACTCATCAGAGTTTGATGAGTATGCGAAAGAACCTTTTTAGTTTTTATGCTATTTACAGTATACTAAAAAACTACAGGAACTTTCATTTTGTTTGTGCTAAAGCACTAACCTCAGACATTTCTGGTACATCTCAGGCATTTATGAAGAGTACGCTGACAGTAAATTTGACTTTTTTTCCTATGAATTAATTTCACCTCATTCACCTCAGGCTTTCTAACTTTCTAATCCTTCCTCAGAACACCTGCCGTTTTACGAGAGTATTGCCATGAATGCGTCAAACATGAGGAATGTAGTTAAAATTCACATATTTTATCATTGTTCCTCTTTTTTTATTAATGTGTAAGTACTGTGTTATTGTGTTATGTCAGGGGAATGGGCATGTTATATAAAATTCCCATGTGTGCTCTACTTTGATATGTGCAGTGTTAAATACTGTGAAAGAGATCTGCTATGCTTGTTCATTGTCCTATGATACTGAATGTATTGCCCTTTGTAGCACTTTTATGGTCCTTACCCATTTTCTTTTCCTCTTCTTTCCATATGTAAGATTATTTTTACTCCCTTTTTCACCCAGCTAATATTGGGGTACCAATACATGGTGTCTTGAATAATAAAAAAAATGAAATGGATAGTTGTGCTTTGCCATCGACCTCTGTGTGTAATACAGTGCAACTATTGCAGTTTACAAAATGTTGACAAGTCACATTTTTCCTCTGTCAGCAAAGGCTTGTATAGTTTTATTGCTGTTTATTGGAATCAGCCCTTAAAGTAGCAAGCAGGCTGTGACAGATGTGTAAATTCTCATGTTTCTTCTGGCAGGTCCATTATTTTTGATGTGTAAATTCCTCAACGGTTACTGCACCTATGGAAAGCTGTCTAGGTTTTTAAGCCACAAATGTTGATCTCAGCAATTTAGTTTGAATATTATTAGTCCTAGTAAAAATGGGAAATTCCACAAGTAAAAAATATAAACCTAACATGTCAAAAGGCAGTTTGTATCAGTAGGAATTATGTTTTAGCATTTATTATTTCCTTTCTTCCTTGTCAAAATTTTTCCCTATTCATTTAAGTGAAAGAAACAGTATGGATTAAATTATAACATGTGCTAATACCATTTTACATATGTATTTTAAATTTTGACACATTGAACTTAATTCAATAATCCACGAGAGGCCATACTTTACAGTGTTTTATTAATCACCGGTAAGGGGTGTTGTTAAGCATGACACGAAGTACACCCCCCTTTCACTGTACTGAAGGATTAACTGTAAAACTGCAAAACTGTAACTTTTACCATGAATCCTTAAGCAAATACTTAAATTCAAGGCTTACAATGATTATTAATGGGGGCCCTGCTACCCTGTTAGCTGTCTTTCTAGTTTGGTTGTTAAGAAAATAACAAAACTGGGTTCTTATGTAGGGTGTGTTTTGGGGCTATTTACTTCATATACGTGTTGGTGCTTGGTCTAATTTATCAATACACTCAATCCATGCAAGCAACGTTAAGGTACATTCATAGAAAATTCAGTTGTTGTGAGGCAATCATAGGTGTGCATTTATAGGCTTCAAACATGCTTCAGCCTATCAAATTTTAGGACTGAAACTGTTTTATGATTTGAATTATTATTTGTTCTAATTGATTTCTTGCGAAAATGTACTAGTTCCACACGCAACACAGTTTAAAATTTTGCAATTCAGTGTTCACTTATACTGAACAAAAACGTAAATGCAATACTTTTCACTGAAAACATTTTACCAAAACCCTGCAAAAAGCTGTTACATTTATATTTTTGTTCAGTATAAGACGTTAATACAAACATGTAATACTTAACATTTCAAAATGTACCTAAATGTCTTTACATAATGTCTTCAAGAGCCTAAAATTGGTGGTAACAAAATACCAGAGACTTTATCAAGGTACCTACCGCAAACCCTGCCAAGGAACCAACGTGAATTCCATGCTGGTCTAAGCTGGACTTTGCTGGTTTAGCTGGTCACCCAGCATGATCTTGCCGGTTGACCAGCATACCCGCATCTAAAAACAACATTATGCTGGTTTTGCATGTGACCAGCCATGCTGGTCTGAGCTGTTTTTTCTAGTAAACAACTATGGCGTTCATGGACCCTAATCCGCATGTACAATTAAAATGTGCAGAATTAAAAAAAAATCTTTATTGTGCATTGATGTCGTTTCACTATTTTAATCCAAGAACATTATATTTTGGTGCATTTTATGACGGAGGAACATGCTGAGAGTTTTACGAACGATACGGACTCCAACCCCCATAATCCTTCGCGCGGCGACGACGCGGCGGCGCCACGTACGTCTGGCGCAAAAAAAGAGAGAGAGGTCTGTTTTGGAGAAGAACGGAAGATGGCGACCTCAAACAATCCGCGAAAATTCAGCGAGAAGATCGCCCTGCACAACCAGAAGCAGGCAGAGGAGACCGCGGCGTTTGAAGAAGTCATGAAAGACCTGAGCATTACTCGGGCGGCACGGGTACGTGTCGGGTTTATTTTTCCTCTCGGTGTTTTCGGGGAGGAGGAGGAGGAGGAGGAGGAGTAGGAGTGGGGGAGCTCGTTAGCCGAGCAGCTAAAGCTTTAAGCGGAACACACACGACTCAACGACCTTCCCGTCGACTGACATCCACAATAAAACCATGTCGACACAGAAACCTGACGAAACGCGTCTCGTTTCAGTTCATTTAGTCGAGCAGTGAGGCGAGCGAACCAGAGAAACGATGCGGATGCGCAGAAGCGAGGCTGTTCGACAGAAAAAAAACGGGCAGCCTGCCTACAGATGTGCTGCACATCTGCACGGAGCCTGCTGGCTCAGATTTACTCCGTGTTACTCTTTGTTTCATACGTTCAAAATGTCCCGCATTGTCACTCCCCGTATTTTTATCCACTCATATTTATACATAAATTCTGAATATTATAGACCTGAAATGGCTTTAAGGCTCTAGTTATGAGTGGCATAGACTGCATGCCATCTCCTCATTGCCTTGCAAGGCCAGGATATTAGCTGCTCTGCCCACTCTCTTCTTCAACTTTGCCAAAATCCTGACATGCCTTTCGTTTGAGTTTGTTCGTGCTCACCATAGTGAGGGATCTGTAACACAGTAACACAGCCAAAGCCTCCATAAGAGTCTACTTGGCCCCGTCTGTTTAGTTTTAATTTGACAGCTTCATAGATAAGCAGTGCTCCACTGATCTGCTTTTCTAATCGAGCCCCAGATTTTTTGTTTTAATGTTTTCCCTTTATGGTATTCCAGTTAAGTTTCATTCACTCATGCATTCATGCTGTCATTCACTCTGTCACTCATTCATGCACTTTTATTTTGCACAGCTGCAGTTGCAGAAGACCCAGTATTTGCAACTAGGCCAGAATCGTGGTCAGTGCTATGGAGGTTCACTGCCCAATGTCAATCAGATTGGAAATAGCAACATTGACCTGCCTTTTCAGGTGAGCCCTTAGAAACTATATGAGTTGAAAACGTCTTTTTGTTTGTCACTGTTTTGGTGGATCTGCCCCATTTAGTTAACCCACTTATAAGTGGAGATATTCTCACAAGTACTGTTCGTGAATCTTACGGCTAGACAATTTTTGACTAAAATTTGCTTGACCTAGTTAGGCTTTTACCTACGTTAAGTGCTTGTAAAGTGTAATATCTGTAAAATAAATGCTTAATTGTCACATTATGCTTGATCTTCACAATCTGTGACTTAATATAGTCTCGAGATACCAAAGATCAGCTTAAAATGCAGTTAAAATGAAACAGATACAAAATAGTTTAAAATTATAAAATTGTTTTGAATACAGAACATGTATATTTAAATAATGCCGTAAGAAGTACACCTAATTTAAACACATATTGCTGTGTGCGTCCTTCATCGATTACTTCTTATGGCAGGAACCCATTTTAAAAGGCATTTTAACTGTTGCACACCATATAAGTCACCTCAAACCCCGCCCGCAGATAATTCCATGTAGCAGGGTGTGAGAATCTGGATTGCTTCCCACATTAAGACCTAGCACACAGTGGATCTGTGTACCATTATTGTTGAGAAATGGGGGTGCCATCACTGCCTTTATCATTGCTTTTCATTTATGAAACATAAGCAAGACTACAAACAAAACAATCTGATGGTTTCATTGCTTTTATGCTTGCATATTGCCTGTCCATCTTTGATTAAAAGGCTGCACTGTATTTTTATTTGTCCAGCTATGCCTCGCCATTGAAGTGAATATAAATAAGGGGTGTCTGTGTTCCGTTCTGTGAGTGGAGATATCTTAAACTTATGAGATTCCTTTTCAGACTACAGTTTTGGATACCAGTCGAACGACTCGGCACCATGGCTTGGTGGACCGTGTTTATCGTGACAGGAACAGAATCACATCTCCACATCGCAGACCTCTGTCTGTGGACAAACATGGCCGTCAGATATCCTTTTTTATTAGTGGTCTGGTTGACTCAACAAAGTCAACTGTTTTCTCTTTATTCAGCCACAGACCTCTGAACACCAGGGGCCAGTTTCATGGACATGGATTAAGCCTAATTTTGGACTAAATGCAGTGCCGGTGGGGTTTCATTAGTCTATGTTTAGGCTTAATCTGGTCAGTGGAAACTGGAAGTTACATCTTAAGCAGTGCATTTTCTCAGCTGAAGGAAGGAGTTCAGACTGATTGCCATGTTGCCTTAATGTTTGTAGAGGGATATCTGAAAGCAAGAACAAATGGTCAGTCACAAGAATCCTATTTAAAAGTTTTAAATAGTTTGTTTATATTGCATAACAACAGTATCAGAAATAACTGGGGCAAAGGGCAAATATACCACCATCTTCATATTTGTATATTTTAGCCCCTTAAAAAAAAGTAATTATAAGTGTAATAAATTGAATATAGTGAACTAAATAAGTGAACTTATAAAAGTCATGAATCAATGTGATTGCACTAATAAAACAGCTGTTCCTTTCCCACATCGCTTTACTTGTTGATCTTGACCTGGTAGCATGAGCACACTTATCTGTAGATAAAATTGAAGTTATATTTGTGCTACGACTCTAGACTCATGCTTTTAATAAAACATCCGTTCCTTCTCCACATTGCTCAACTCGTTGATCTTGACCTGGCAGCATGAGTGCACTCATCCATAGTTACATTTGTGCTGTGACTCAGTACCCATGCAAATTACATATGTGCATTTTAAAATAAGTGACATCATTTAACTTAACACATTAAAATACCATATGAAAATGGTATTTTGTGTACTTAACAGTGTTTCCCCATTTTTACATAAAATGTCTGTGAATTTCAATCAGCAAGGGCAAAAATTTGCCCCTTAAAATTGCTTCTTAATAATAGCTGTTGTATTTGAGGAGGGTGTTTGGGGTTTATTTTTGTAGATATTATATAATATAATAATATACAATTCATGGCTGTTTCAGTTCCTCAGGTGGCCAGTAATCATTGGAAGTAATAGGGTGTATGTGGCAGTAAAACGGTTGATTCAATGATATTATTACATTCTGTAATCACAACTTTGAAACGATAAGATCATCACAGCAGTGGTCCTACAGAGACAAGGGGTGGTTATTGTGCATATCAATATTCAAGACTGATGATTGAAACAAATAACTGCAGATGATTTTTTTTTCACTGTGAGACAGACTGTTTCGCAGTAAATGAAGCCTTCAGTTAACATTGTAGATAGTGAGCTGACCCAGTCAAACACTTTCCCAAGGACGTCCCCTCCTGGTGAGCGAAAAAAGTAGCTTTTTAATGGCCCAAAACCACTTAAAAAAATCACAATGATCTTTTTTTAGTTTCTGCTTTTTAAACCTGAATAGATTGTAGAACAACAAGGGCTGTAGCCATCACATCCTACTCCTACTACTATGACTAATAAACTTTATTTAATTCTTAATTTATGTTTAATGGCAGTGGAATACAGTGGCATTGCATGTGCGGTTAGTTTAGTGTGTAAATATCGCTCCTGTGCCCACATAAAAATAACATACGCCAGACAGACTTTCAGGTGCTTGAAACAAATGCGACATTTGTCCTTAACACAATTACATTGACAGCTGCCCTTATGGCTCAGTATATCTGTCACCTCCCCCTGACACCAGCTGGAGGAGGTAAGGCAGTGTTTGCCGTTGGGAAGTTCACATGTGTATAACTTACACTTTTACTATGGCACACTTTCACTATCCTCATCCATCTGTTTCAGGACCAATTCTGACTCAGCCTTACATCAGAGTGCCATGAAACCTGCCCCGCAAGACACTTTTGTTGGAGGATCCCAGGAGGTACAGCCAAAACGAGGTAACGGGATTAAGCTTTTTCTTCTTCGTATTGGCCAGTGCTCCCCCCAAATAAAGGGAACTCAGTGACTTTTTTTCTTTCATTTTCTAGTCTTATTGCTCACACCTCCAGATACTGAGGAGGCTGAAACAGAAATGGAAAAAGATGATCAGAAAACATCGTTGCATCCCAAATCCCATGAGGTTCCAGGGATTAAGTGAGTAAAAAGTATACTAAATAATATTGTTAAGCTTTCTGCCATTTCTTTGTTATTGTGTGATTCTGTATTATTATTTTGATAAGGGCCACATACGGTTCAATCACTGAGTTTAGGTAAAGGTAATTTACCTAGCTTCACCTTATTATAACCATTTCAAAGAACATGCATCTATTTCTATACAATTTCTTTTGCTGCTTCCACAGCATATTCCCATCCCCTGATCAAGAAGTGAACACCTCTTTGATGCCAGCCACACACAACACGGGCGGCTCCCTGCCGGATCTCACCAACATTCAGTTCCCTCCTCCTCTGCCGACCCCATTAGACCCAGACGACCCTGTATCCTTCCCCACCCCAAGCACTTCCAGCAGCACGGGCAACCTCACTACCAACCTCACCCACCTGGGCATCAGCGCTGCCAGCCACGTACCTCCCTCACCCCCTGCGCTCAGCGGCCAAACCCAACCTGCTCCTGCCCTCACACTCAACATAGATGTCCAGCAACAGCAGCAGCAGCCATGCCCACAGCAGCTCTCCCCCACTCTCTCTCCCACCCTCTCACCTCAGATGCCCATTTCTCAGGTATTGTCAACCTAACCCATCTTGCCTCTGTTTGGGACTGTGTTGATTATAATATTTACTGTTTCTGACTTTTAAGCCACCTGTTTAGTAGGGCTGCAACGAGCAATTATTTCTATAACTGAATGACCTATTGACTATTATTTAATTAATAAACTGACAGTTTTATGCAAAAGTTTGGGTGCCCCGGTCAATTTACATTTCTTCTTGATTTTATAAGCAAAAAGAAGTTAACACGTTATCTACAGAGCACACACTTCTGCTCATGTTCAATGCATTTTTTTTTCTAAGTAAATTGTCATTGTCAAATTTGTTAACTAATCATTGTAGCCCTGCTGTTATGCCCACCCCTACTTACTACCTCACATATCATGTTTTGCAGCCCATTGCAATGGACACCATGTCTCTGGAGCAGCAACTGTCGCAGTACTCACTCCTCAGTCTGCTAAGCGACCTGCAAAAGCAGCAGCAGACCCTGCCCCAGAACATCCGCCTCATCCAGCTGCCCCCACTCACTGTCAGCTCTGCCTCCAGCACACCACAGACCTCCCTCGCCACCCAGTCGCCGACGGCCACCAGTGCACCAGTCAGCTCGGTGAGTGCAACCTGCACCCATCCTCATTGACAGTGACATAGATGTAACACACAAGGTTACTGCCATAATAAATGGATATTCAGTTGTGCGTTCAGTTTGAAATTAAATTCATTTTATTATTGAGGAGTTGTTTTGGTTTACAAATCCTCGTAATGTTCAGATGAGTGCTCCAGTAGAGCTAAGAGCACACTAGGGTCAGGTTTGACCAACACAGTGCTTTATGGCATGTTTGGTGTTCACACATGGACCCATGTCATAGTGGACCTGTGCTGTCATTCTGAAAGGCCTCTTCCTTCCAGCAGTATCGCAATCAGACTGGGTCTCCAGCCAACCAGTCTCCAACCTCTCCAGTCTCCAACCAAGGCTTCTCGCCTGGAGGCTCGCCTCAAGTAAGGGCGGACCCACCCCGCTGCTTGTTGTGCTTTGGCCGCTCATTTGCTGTCCCAGCTCTCTGTTCTCCTTCCTCCACTTCTCTTTGTCTGCATTCCAACCCCTTTCTCATTGCTCAGATGACGCTGTGATTTTATAGGTACCACTTATCCTGTCTTCTGGTGCCATTGTGACGGGCTAAATGAATGGGTGGGTGAATGGCTTAAAACTTCTCCCATGTAGCATATCAGGATGTACTTCAGTATCATATATAAGGTAGCAGCACATTAGCCAGTTGTCTGTGTATGGCAGGGTTATGGGGGTGTTTAGCTGTATTGCAGTTTAATTACAAAATTGGTTTGATCTAACAGCGTCATTATCAAATGAAGAGCAATGCACAGCCTGTTCTTTTCTCTGCGTAATGCTGACAATGTTGAAGTGCGTTGAAGGCTGTTTAGTCTGTGTTGTTCGCTACAGTAGCTAAATAATATATAGCCTATAGCTAAAGTAGTGGGCGGTATACCAGTTCATACAGTTTAAAACTTTCCTCAGGTAAAAGTTTTGTCATTACTGTTATCAGTATGCCACACATAAGCGCAGATAACACAACGTCAGAACTGTGTAAACAATGCTAATGTTATTCGGTTGAATTGAGTGGCTGAGTCATTGAGTCAAATGTTTGTCACATTTCAAATAAAAATATTAAAATGCAGCTGACCCTCAATCCCGATATCTAGTCAATTGCATCTGAAGTGATCACGTTTGTTTTAAATCAGCAGTCGTAAAGGAGTAACGGTGTCTGATGGTCAGAAACACAGGTGGAAAAGACACATGTGACAAATGACTTGAGAAATTCCATTAAACTAAATTTGGCTTCTTATTTGAATTTCCCATTTCATCTTAAATGGTGCAGCAGTTACACTTAGGCGCCTTTAGGGAGAAGCCAACGTCAGGCTTGTAGAAATTCATGCAACATTTAGGCCCATTTTTGGCAGGCCTGCCAGATTTAATATTAGGAAGCAATATTAACTTAGATGTGTCGATATGTTGTTCAGTTTTGGTTTTACGATTTTGCACAATAAAATGTTTCAGATTTACTTTGGTTGTTAAAAATGTTGAAATGTTTCTTATTAAAAAAGTGACATTCCAGAATAATAAGCTGTTGATAACCTACAAAAATAGGTTTACTTAAGCATCTAAAATTGTTTATCTTGAAAATATATGTGCAGTTTTATATACCAAGACATTAATTATAAGCCAAAATGTTTATTGTACCGTGATACAATGTTTTGATCATCCTGCCCACTACTAGCTAAAAGTAATGCGTGATACATTGCCTTTTTTAGTCAATAGCATACATCCTTGTATTCACTTGCATAAACTGTAGCGAGCGTCAGATTTTTACTATATCCGTGTCCTGTTACCCAGTGACATTTCTTTTGCTTTCAGTATCTCATTAGCTGTAGTGCTAGTGTGCCATGATGCAGTTGACCTCCATGCTCGGTTGCATCCCTGTAATCATCCGGGCTTGGTTGAGAATAGTAGCATGTAATGGCACAACATTAGAAAATCATTCTGTATTAAGGATTTATGACATTATTGTACATAATCTTAAACTCAGAGATGGCTGCTTGAGATTGCTACACTTGCTGCCTGTGGCATACTAATGTAGGTATAGCCTGATAATCACAATATGTGCACATTAGGTCTTAATATTATCTTACTAAAATGGGCATGCACAGTTAATTTGGTGCAGCTGCAATACAAGGACTGTCCTTGTAGCTCCCTACATAGTTGTTTCTTGAACTAGGGCAACATTGACTGAAAACAGCACTGTAGTGACTCTTGCTCATTGTTTTGAAAACAATAGAGACCATTTTGCATATAAAAGTGATATCAGATTAGATTTGTACTGGTTTCCTACTCATTTATCTTTAGCGCCAATCAGGCAAGAACAAAGTTTACGTTGATATTTAACTGCTGATTTCATTTACCAAGTGTGTCGATTAAGAGCTGTATGTTTTATTGATGTTAAGCTTTGTCACTTGAGAGATGTCGCTGCTTTTTAACAGATGTCCCCAGATCTTTTGCGTGGATGTCTTGTGCTAGACATTCCCGCGTATGTCAGCGTCTTGCGCATTTGTCCTGCTATTTACACAAACATTTTCACACCAGCAGACACTGAAGTCTAATGGAAGTAACTGAGATATTTTTTGCTGTAATCGTAGCACATTCCGGTGGTGGGCAGCATTTTTGGAGATTCGTTCTATGAACACCAACTGGCATCCAGACAGACCAACGCTCTGTCCCATCAGGTTAGTGCTTATGAGTGCTTCTGAGGACAGTCTTTAGCCCCTTTCTCTTACCTTTGGGCCCTCTCCTTGGTGGATCTTGTCATATTTGGCTTTACCTAATCTTCTGGAGGGGTCTTGGACCATAAAAGGATTGTCCTGTAAAAGTAACATCATGAGTACATTTCTTAGCATTATAGCAATTACAGTGCCCTCTGTTATTTCCTAGCTTGAGCAGTTCAACATGAACATGATCGAGAACCCGAGCAGTTCTAACAGCCTTTACAGTCAGTGCTCCACACTCAACTACACACAGGCAGCAATGATGGGTTTAACCGGGAGCCACGGCAACTTGCAGGACACACAGCAACTAGGCTACAGTAACCATGGCAACATTCCCAACATTATTCTCACAGGTATATGTTTTTCTCTGTTTCTTATTGTGTAAGTCCTTCCAGGGATCTGGATGTGTGGTGCAATACAGTTTATACATTGTTATGCAAATCTAACCCATATACCTGGACTCATGTCATTTCTGTGCTTTGTATTTTTTCCTGCACATTTCCAATGACAAATATTAGTGACCGGGGAGTCCCCACCTAGCCTGTCCAAGGAGCTGACCAGCTCACTGGCCGGCGTGGGTGATGTCAGCTTTGATGCAGACTCTCAGTTCCCACTGGATGAGCTGAAGATTGACCCTCTGACCCTGGACGGACTGCACATGCTCAACGACCCGGACATTGTTCTCGCCGATCCAGCCACCGAGGACACCTTCCGCATGGACCGACTGTGAAGCGAGCGGTGGCTGGAACTCAAAAGAAGCTCTCTGAAGAGGAAGAGGCTGGAGACTACTTATTGTGCAGCTGCATGGCCACCCAGTTTATCATCCAGTCCACGGCCCTCCCTTCCTCCCCCACATGGCATCTACAATAGCATGCTGCCAAAGCCGTCTGGGGAAGGGAGGCGCTCAAGCACAGAGGTGGAAGTGGCGTTACTACATCCATACTGGCTAGCGTTTGCAAGGCGGCTAGTTTTAAACCTCGTCCGTTGTACAAGTGTGTGCTATGCCCCTCTTTAGGCCTACATGTTGAGTTGCTTTGTTTTGTTATGTTCTTTTGGTTTTTTGAGTTGTTTGTTCATGTTTGTTTTGTTTTTTGTTGATGTTTCTGAGTCTGAGGTGATATTTGTCTTTCTCATGTCATTGTATGTGAGTATTTGTTCCGTTCTCTACGAAAAGCAAGTGTCAAGGTGTGTGTGTGTGTGTGTGTGTGTGTGCGTGTGTGTGCGTGTGTGTGCGTGTGCATGCATGTATGACTGTGTTAAACTTTATTTAACCTAAATATTGAACCTCCTGACTATGATGGCTTTTCCCCCTAAGACACAGCTTTATTTTTACAAACCATTTGGTTTCTTTAGTGCTTTGTGTCTGTTTGCTTATTTATTTATGTATTTTTTTTGTTGTTGTTCACATTCATTTATTTGGCATGTTACATGAATTGCCAAATCTTTTTGTCACTTGTTTTTAATGTTTACGTTACGTGTATTTTTGAAGTTGTTAGTTTGATTCTGTGTGCGTTTGCGTGGGTGTTTTATATGTTTGTGTTAAATTATCTATATATTTAAAAATTTAAATTATTTATTGAACCTTTTTATTTAACACTAAGGAGTACTACTCCCCCCCAATACTACTTTTTATGGATTTGAGAAAGCGTCGCTTGCTACTGTATGTACTTTATTATTGCGAAATGTCTAATGAAAAAACTAGCATCCGCTTTTTTTTAAACTCCAAACATAACTTTACCATGATTATCTATGTGCTGGCGTTGTTGTTTTTACTTTGCCAGCAGACTCACTGATTTAATTGTGTGAAAATGACAGCCTTGCCTATATTTTTGGTAGTGATATTGTAAAGTGTCTTTAAAAGCTAAAAACCTGTATGTTTTCCTTGTTGAGTGAGTTGCTTGTTCAGTTGCAAATTGAAAATGTTAGTGCTGTCGTTGACTTCTGATTTGCATTAAAAGGCTGTCATCGCGCAGGGCCAAAACCGTCAAAGGGAAGCTTCAGAAAGCTACTGAACTCATCACTGTGAGCTGACCTGATTTTGCCTTATGAACAAAAAAAAAAAAGAGCTGTTTTTAAGCTGTCGGTGTGACAAACAAGTTTTCTAATCGTCCTGTTAATGTTTATTCTCGTATCTGAAAAGACTTCTGATCATGCACAATCAGTGGCAGTATTGTGTTTTTATAAATGCAGTTTTTCAATTAAGTACTGTATGGCATGTAGGTTTAAGTGTTCCCGCTTAAATGGAGGTTCTGTTGTGAAGCCAGATGTCCGTCCGTCTGAGCTGCTAAAGTGAAAGTAAGGGGAGGGTACTGCTCCTTATTCTCAGTGCTGTTTACCAGAATGTCGTTCTCGTCTTTATTCATATATATTTGTATATTTGTTTTTGTCTTGTCTGTCATTCATGTGATGTCTCATTTGTCTTTTTCCATTTGAAAAGTTTTAAGGAATCACATCTTTGTAGTTATGTACACTATGAAATTACAGAAAAAAATACTGTTATTCACCGTTTTATGGTTTTATGCCACTTGAAATGGATGGCCTAATTCAGATAAACCGTTATAATCCTGCTTTATGCAGCCGGGGAAAATTAAAGCACTTGGTCACTGCACAAAAAACATTTGGTACCAAATTCGTGTAGTGGCAAATGATGTGCATGATGCCATTTATTATTTGTGAACAATAATTTTGTTATTGTTTAGGTCTTCATGATTGGGAATGAATATTGTTATATCAGTTTTAACTGACTTCAACCAAGAGTCTTGACCTTGGTATGTAGAGTGCAGTCTGTATGTAACAGGACAGTGATGCAGTTTTAGTTTTGGCTTTGCAGTTTTGCACATTTGATTTGAAATGAAACAACTGATGTGTACTTAAAGTGCAGAATGTCAGCTTTATGAATGTCAACCATATGCACTTTTTATGCATAATATTTTACCTTACATAAGTCTGAAATTGTCATGTTTACTACTTAGTTCCTTTTTGCGTTCAGTCTTTTGTTTAATTGAAATGCATGCTCAATCATGGGTATTTGATTTGGCTTGTCAAGAGCATTCCACCATTTTTGGCCCTGAAAAGCTCCTCTATATTCTTTAAAAACCTTCAGAGTATAAATATTGGCTGATACTGGCAGAAAATGTTTGATCATATATCAGAGGGGAAAAAAGAATGAATCCAAGTTTCATATTGCCGCTGTCAAAAGAAAGAAACAATGTATCTCCTTTTTTTTTTTTCTTTTTTTCGGATTTTTTTTTGCTTAATTTGAACATAGCTATTGTCCTTTACAATGTGTCATGATGAATGGATCAATAGAAATGCTTCACTTGCTGTTTTTGCCTTGTCCTGTAAAGTTATTATTTTGGAGATACATTGTTTTTTGGAGAGCGAGGATATGTTCATCTTACGTTAAGCACATCAAAATAGCTCATTTTAAAGCGTAATAGTTTTTAAAGAAAAACATTTTGGATAGGTTTCGGCCAGTGTGCAAGTATCGGTATCAAAAACTTGGTGGTATCGTGGCATCTCTACAATGTACCAGATTGGTTGTAGTATCTATGAACAAACCTAAAGTCTTGGGTACGTCTCTGATTCTGATTTCTCAGCCTCATGATAGCCTATTTTACTGGCAATACTCAAGACACTCCAGATGCCAGTGCCCCACCTAGAACCCACTCCAGACCTTTTGCCAGCTCTTTTCTGCTGGGATGGGACTCCCATTTTGCACTTTATTCTCAGGCATTGTTACAGTTCAGATCCAATGTGCACAGAGTACAGAGCCAAAACAACAGAAAACTGTCACCATCCATTTACTTACAGGCAGCACTGTATTTGGTCTTGGATGAGAAGCCAGATCAATTGGACCTTTGTAAGGGATATGACTTTAAAAAAATTATGAAATGTGAAATGTACAGATTGTGTGATTCCTATGCAAACCAGAGAAAATTTATCAGTCTACAAATTGAAATATATCTTGTTGAATTGAGTGAAATGGTTTATATGGTGTAGCTGTAAAGCTTTTAAAATAGCAACGCACGGATAATATAGATGGTTTATTAGGCGTTTGAAACAGATCAGAAAAAAAACGCAGTACTAACGTCGAGCAGCAGTTTACAGCATGCAGTGTTACAGAAAAGGCCACTTTAAAACAGCATACACTGCTATAGGGTTGGACTTTTTATTTATTTATTTTTTAACCCTTAGACCGTGCCATTCACAATCACTTTCTTTAAACAATGTGTTTTTCTTTTTGACATTTATTTCAAAACTGTTTTTCCTCTCAAACACTTGTATGGTAAATACTGTACATAGAGCTTATCACTAGACTATGATGACTGCATGTCAAAAACAAGAAAAGGATCTTCAGTAAGAGGCCTTCCTTAGCTTGGCTGATTTCATTATAAAATGTGCTGCACATGATACACTATGGACTCTTTTAGCGAGATGCAATGCATGCGTTGATCAAAAAAAAAAAGTGGTTTCATTTGACTGAACGTCACTCATATTCACGTATATTTTGGTAGATCACCTCTGGAAGTACAGTGTATGGGGCTCCATATGAGATGTTGTGCGTCAACACCAAATTACCTTTTGCTTGACCAAAGCAGTTTTGTTTGTTGTTTACTTTTTCCATATTGTAACTGCTAGTTTTCTCTGAAAGTTGTTTTTTTTTCTAGTTACTTTGTTTTTGCGTGTATGTTTGCATTGTTTTCTTTGGCATGGTTGTCGATCATCATGATTGTAGCAAGCTAGACCTTTAGTTTGTTTGTTTGTTTGTTTGTTTTCAGTTGAAATACTTGTCAGCGCTGTTGCTTAGCTTAGCTCTTGCATCTCAACATAAACCCTCACAATCACTAATATATATCACAGCTCAAGTCACTGATATATATGGCAGCTTTCGTGCTACTGTGTGCGTGCGTGTGCGTATGCGTGTGCGTCTCTCTCTTTTTGTATCTTTTCTCAGTGTGTTGCTTCGCACTTTAACAGTGGCGTTATGGCATTAAATTTGGACTGTTTTACCCTCTGAGAACACTGACTGTTTAGCTCTGTAGATTTTATCATGCTTCTCCTTCCTTTTTCTTTCCTTACAGATGGCTAGTCCCTGTAATCAAGGCTATTTTTCCTTAATGTGAAATTTTTCTGGGTGAATTCTCCACTGTATTGCACTGATAACGTTGAGGGATAACACTTTTGGGAGCAAATATGTAACTTCTTAATGCAAACTTAACAAGGGCTCGGTCTTTGTGCTCTAAGTGTAAAAATTGGGAGATGCAGCCAGAATGTATGTTTTTTTTTTTTTGTCCTTAGATCTACAGTAGTTTTCCTCATGCATGGTAATAGCAGTTTTGGGCTTTTTATTGAATCGTTTCAGATCTCAACAGCAGTTTATTTGTTATTTTGGACGTATTTATTTCTGAATGCAGAGCCCCTTTAAAGGAGCCTCCTTCAAACTCCCCTATAAGCCTTAAGAGGACTGCTGGGCAGTTGCTATGGTTCTCATATATATATCCGCCAATTTTCCACCATTATAATAAACTAATGAGGAAGTGGTTCTCTTATACCAGAAATATTTGTTGATTAATCTTTAGAGTAATAGAGTGTGGGCTATATGAAATAGATATAGTATATATGATCCGCCAAACATAAGTGCCATCTGCATTGATTTACTCTCTAAACATCAGTTTTATTTAGTCAAAAAAAAGTGTTTGAGCAGGTGTGTGAAAAAAAAAGATTGTGAAAGTAAAAAAAACTGCTCACAAGAACATAAAAAAGCTTCAAAATCTGCAGTCACTCAGATCAGAAACAATGCTGTTTATATGCATTTTAAATACATGTACTGAGATGAAAAATCCATCATTAAGCTGGAGCTTTTTACCAGCTGTGTACGGCAGAACATTTTCAACAGTGTTTGGGAAAAGTTACATTATTCACAGATGTAGAACTCTCATGTAACTGTATAGATTTTTCTGGTGTGGTCCATATTTTGACTCATGTTTGTGGAAATTGGTTGTAGAAGGCCACTTTCTCTCTGTACATAGTCTCAGTGATCGTTTCATGGATGTTTTCCATTCTCAAAGTATGCTAAATATGGATGTGCATGATGTCTCAGCTACATATATCAGATCGTTCTTATTACATCATTTATATTTTGTAATCTGTATTTCTGTACGTGTTTTTAAAATATATACATTTAAACTGCTGTGTTTGTGGTTTTGGTGCCATATGATCATCACCAAGTCTTGACATTCACAGACTTTAAAGAGGAGGAGGTCCACCAATTTTTTCACAATTTTGTAACAAAACAAAGCTATTCAGAATGGTGAAATGGTAAATTAAACCAAAACCTACTGAGTCTAAATAAAATAAAAATAGGTGTGATAGGAACCAGGGGTCACAGTGCAAATATAGCCATTTTATTTACCATCCATATGGATCAGTGAACCTACATGTGTCTTCGGAGTTTTATATGTAATATTGATGATGGCAACATAGTGTTAAATCTGAAAATTAGACTGGACAAGCCTAGTTAGCTGGTGTCTATGGTACAGGACATATACAAAAAACTTTACTTAAGACCTCCTGGTGAACTTGTGCTACTACTACTAATACTTGCATAGCTAGTAGCATTGGCATTCCTGCCTAACACATGGCATTACACTGCTTCCAAAAAAGCGAGTAAATCTCTGTACTCCCAGGAATCATTTAATAATTAGTTAACTTAATAATTCTGACATGGTGTGTACACTACTTTGTTATGAATGAATCTATTAAGTCAGAATAAGCTAGCTAACATTAGCTATCCAGCTAGTTGTAGCTAAACTATAGCTAATACCAGCTAAGCATAGCTAGTAACCTAACTATGATGATTTCTACTGGCATACACACTCACGCAAATCTCTATAATTGCTCAGAATCATGTGTAGATTTAAACAAAACGCACATTTTGTGTAAAAATGAGCAAAAACCACCCGTTCTCTTTCTGCTAGCATACATGCTAATAGCGCTAGAATTAATGCTGCAGAGCTAGCTGATGTTAACTTGACAAACTCTTTACAAAGTGATAATCCACACACGTCTACAGTTATTCAGACTCGTGTAGAGCCAAATAAAAGTACATTTCTTCTTCAGAATGTAAAAATGAACTACAAATCTACTCGTTCTCTAACGTTAGCTGTTTGCATGTAAGTTAATAGCGCTAGCATTAGCCTCCGATCATAACGTCATACTGGCGAATAAATGTAACTTTACAAAATAATTTTTAAAAAATGATCGACATATCATAATATTACTCCAGTTTATATTCTGGTGCACGTATTGGTCGTGTACCACCTAACGTTAATGCGTCAACAGTTTGATTAAATGCGTTTCTGCTTTCATCTATTGTTTGTTCTTTTATTGGTAGCATTGGCGACATTTATGAGAGCCGGTTTATGATGAGCTTGGCGTCTTCCTATTTCCCCCGCTATATAAAAAATAGGACTGCACAACGCGAGAGGGCGCCTGTGAGCAAGTCCTCAATTAATGGGGTGAATAGAGCTAAATAGCTAAAAACGAATAGTTAAACTAGTTTCATTGGCTGTTCACGTTCACAGACATCATGAACGTACATGAAGAGCCGTTTAA